AGTTGTAGGCCCTTAGCGAGCTCACGTAAACTATCATAGTTTTTGTAATTGTAAAACTCGTACTAAGGGTACTGAACAAGAGTAGACCTAGAACAGTGAACATATTAAACTTGAAGGGGCTACAACTCGGGAATGTGGAACCAATTTTCTCATACATACTCACGGTGGTGGACTAGTTGTATATATATTATTTGATTTTAAAGACTTCGAAAATCTTTCAAAGAAACTGATAACTTTTTTTTAAATACTTACGTTAATTAAAGTGAAAGTGGCTAACAATAAAGCTATAGCGACCATTTCAGTTGTACGTTCCAAACACAATACAATAAGTAGTAGTGCGTATGCACTACGTGCGTGCGTATGTAACTTCGTAGCCAGTTTAGTAAACGGAAGAATAATTGAAAATAGTAAAATACCGGATGTTGGCACGCTACTCTTTATCATAATTTATGTCAACTATGACGTGATCTACGACCGGAAATTATTACTTTAGCAAAGGATTTGTGTCTGTTTTTTTAAACCGCTAAGCTAAGTTTTAGCACTGTGTCAGGAAATCTTAAAGTTATAGTTAGAATTACTTGATATTTTGCGATTTTCTGTGACGACGCAAAATGGGTCTCTGCTCAGCCTGCAACAACAATATACCTACTAGTAACACAAAAGAGAGTCAAATGTTCTCAAAGTGGGTGCAACCCAAAACTATCACCAAGAGTCCCTCGAGGAAAATGGGTATGCCCAATGTGCGTTGCAAAATGTCCAAAAGATGGTGACAACAGTAATACAGGCCAGGGTACGCGATGATGTTCGGAATGTAAATACTTCACCCATGATATCAACAATCCCTTCCACCCTCACCCTCGAAGTAGTCATGAGCGAGATTCAAACTTGCGGGATAATATGAATACAAATTTCAAAAAACAGGAACTTTTAATATGTTTAACTGAACCCTGAAGAAAGTCATGACCTAAAAGAAATGTCTGCTAAGTTTTCCGTTATAAGTAAGGAAATAGACGTGACTAAATCAGTCACATTTTTATCTGAATCCCATGATAGTCAAATGACAATAAATGAACAGTACAAAGAAGAATTATCATATCTAATTTCTGAAAATACATACCTGAAGGAAAAAGTACTTAAGGTAGAGCCATATTTTAAATAGAGCACGCGAATCTAATTTGGAAATACAGTGTGATTCTGAACATAGGAGAGAGAATTTGCTAAATATCATGACTCAAATAGCAACAACAATTTCTTACAACCTTATGGACTCTGAAATCTTAAATTTCCATAGAGTAGCCAAATTAAACTCAGATTCTACCCGGGCACGTAATATTGTTGTGAAAATGGCAAGCCCGCGGTTGCGAGATTGAAAAGTACAACAAGAATCATTCAGATGAACGACTTAACTCCAGTCATCTGGGAATAGCGGATGAGAAACAACACGTATACATTATTGAACACCTATCTCCTGATAACAAGAATTTACATGCCGCTGCGCTTCTAGCTGCTAAAGAAAAAACTATAAATATGTGAGGGTACGGAACGGCTGAGTGTTTATAAGAAGAACAGTGAATTGCCTCCAAAGCTAATCATTTTTTAGTACTTAGAAATGTTAATTTAGTAGTCTATAAAAATGTTAAAAACTGCCAAAGAGCTTGAATTAGTATTGTGTTATCAAAATGTCTCCGAACTAAACTGGTAGAATTTTACAGAAATGTATTAAATCATAATACCGACATACGCTATAATTAAACAGAAACATTGGCTTAACGAAACGGTTTTTTTACATGAAATAATAGATCAGCGTTACAACATATTTAGACGAGATAGGTCCTCAACATCTTCTGCTGCAAAACAGAGAGATGGTGGTGGAGTGGCGATCGCTGTACTAAAACTACATCAGGTGATTCGGATGCACGGCTGCGAGTAAAGGTGAGGATTTGTGGCTATTTCTAAAAATTAATAATAATTTTAATTTATTTATCGGTGCTGTATTTATCCCACCTCCCGTTACGGTGGAGTATGTTAAGGTTTTTTTGGATGGTCTCAGTAACACTTTGCAAAATAAACTAGTCGGCAAGAAATCCCGGACTTTACTGTTCGGAGATTTTTATATGCCGAATATTAAATGGCCTCAAATTCTGGATTTTTCTAACTCTTGCAACAAAATATCAAACAATGTCGTAGAAAATATGTTACAATATACTGTATTATATAATAATTTGTATCAGTGTAATTCTGTCAACAATGTTTATGGTAAAATATTGGATCTGGTTTTAAGTAGCGTTCCCGCAAATATTAACGTCTATGAGTCCAACTCTGCTTGGGTTCCGCTTGACCAATATCATCCCTGTCTTCAAATAGAGCTGGTGGGACCGGTGACAAAGACTGTCAGACCTAGTATGGTTAAAACACTAAATTTTAATAAAAGTAATTTAACAGAAATTAACAGTCACCTAAATCAAATAAACTGAACTTCTGTCTGGAGCCCGGTAGCCGATTTCGATGAGATGGTCGATAAATTTTATCACAAAATAATGCCAATCATTGAAGAATTTACACCTAAATCAAAACGCAAAAACGACAAGTATCCATCATGGTTTAATATCCCATTAGTCAGAGAAAAACAGGTACCTACCATAAAAGGTACAAAAAGTATGGTAACGAAATGGATAACGTAGTTTTTGATTTTACGTAAACGTTGGAAGGCATTAATAAAAGATTGCTTTTCTAAGTTTAAGCAACAAGCGTCTGAACACCTACAAAAGTCCCCCAAATACTTTTGGAAATATATAAAGCAATTAAAATCAAACAGTACACCAGTGCCTAACGAAATGCATCTCGGTGGCAAGATAGTTAAGAGGGGCCAGAGTATAGCGGATCTTTTTGCAAGCTATTTCCAGTCCGTGTATAAAACAAGTAGTTCAGTCCTTTTACCACAGCATAATCTAAACCATACAACACATGAATGTCACCACAATACGCTTAGTAGTATAAGAATAAAAGAATGTGATGTTTTGAAATCATTGGAATCATTAGATTGCAGCAAGGGATCCGATTTGCTTGCTCCGACATTATTGGTATTTTACTCAAATATTCAATTATTCCTTAGAATCTGGTTCTTTTTCTACAAAATGGAAACTGGCTCATCTCACTCCGATCACAAATCAGGGGAGATTGATGATATCACACATTATCGGCCGATATCTATTCTACCGCTATGTGGAAAAATATTTGAATCCCTTGTGTGCAGAAATTTTCCACTTTTTATAATAGTCAAATTAACCAGAATTAACATGGATTTATGCCTCGAAAATCCACTGCAACCAATTTGACAAAAACAATTCCTCTGATCTTCTTCTATCATTCCCCTTCATAAATGCAATAGAAGAAGCAGAGCGCAGTCATTATCAGATAGACGGTAGACCCTCTGAACTTTTCCGATAAGCATATGAAAACTTATTTTGACAATTGTACATTCACGTTCAATAAGAAACACATTAATTACAAAATAAAATGGTGTTGCAGTGGCAAAAAAGTCTTTGGCTCAGCACATGCCATTACACAGAATGCCATGACGCTGGTTTTCAGCAAAAGTCCAAGGTATGAACATCATTATATAGGGTATAATATGCAGTGTGTGTTGCATAATTATCTGACCGCCGAAGTTTATCAAATTCCTCGCGCTCTTTTTGCATTGGTAATAACAATATTAAAACAAATTGAGAAAAAAATAAAACAAACATGGTATTTATATAAACTTATATTTTTTATAAAATTCGTTTTCTTTGAGATTTTAGTTTTTATTCTCAGTCTCAGGCTATTGCTGAAAACTGAATTAAAATCCGTCGTGTAGTTTAAAAGAGCTAAGCGTATGGACAGGCGGGAGCAATTTTGTTGTAAACCTATGTAAAGACTAGAAAATATATTCTTTAGACAAATCGAATATACTGATTAACTAAACTAGTTGTTTTAAAATTTGAAGTTGAACATTTGTCAGTTTCAATTATCTGCATGAGTCGCTCTCACAATCGTCAAAATTTAATTTAAGCCGGATATTAGTTTAAATGATTCGGCGCCCATTATTTATCTAATATGACTGTAATTGTTATATAAGAGGTACCATTTTAAAACAACCTAAATTTTAGTCATGTTACAAATGCTTTATTTTAGTTGCATAATGTCCTTGCCCCTGTCATTAAGCATATGATGGTTTCAGAAGATGTCTAAATCTTGTGATTTCACTTCTAAATTTTCACTTCAATATTTTGATATCATTAAAACAATATTCTCTTTTATATCAATTGCAAAATTGCTTATTTATTCCTCAAAATTGCGATTTTATAGGGAAGAAAACAGTAATTGATTAAAATGTAAAAAAAAAACGACGGGTTGCACTCCGGGAGTGCCGGCCGAAGTGAAAACTTGAATAATAACGTTGTGCATTTTTGATATTTTGGAATGGTTAGGGAATAATTTTGCACGAATTTCATTTATGTGGTAGAATAAAACATTTGTTTATTGCGCTATCGTACACAAACATGACAATTTATATTACATTATAAACAAAGTTTATCTCTCAGAATTTCCCATTTAAGCGCACCTAGCGACATCTATTGTAAAAAAATGCATTTTCTTCACAATAAAACTATGTCCTAGATATTATTATAACACGATAAAATAAAATATTACTATGTTTCGTCCAATATATTGAAAGTCAACAATCGATCCATTTTATTGTTTTCGTCTTACGATCAGGACACGTGGCCTGTGATGCGATCAGCCCACGAGTCATGACGCGAGTTTAATATTTTTTACCCATACAAAAAAAAAAGTTTACAACGCCGCTAAAGAAGTTTTCACTTTAAAAACAATCGAAAGGCCAGACCACTGCAAACCTATTTTAGTTAATATTGATTTTTACCAATATTATTTATTACATGTATAAAATCTAGACAAGAAATTGATGTCCAGCCATGATTGTAGCTCGTGAAACAGAGCTAGTCCACTTCCAATGTATCCGTGAGTTTCTTTCCCTTGGTCTCTGGTAGGCAACAGACCACGCCCGCTGCCAGTAGCGGTACCACAGCAAATACTACAGGTGGAAGCCAAACGGGCTGGTCGAAACTTATTATGAAAGGCGCAACCATGGAGCCCACTCTAGACGTAGTAGAGGAAGCACCGAGCGCCATATTCCTCGCTATTGTGGGAAATAGTTCAGCAGTGAATGTGTACCTGTAGCACACAAAAAAATATGTCCAAAAGAACTATAAATTTAGAGAAATTTTACTAGAAAAACATCTGGATAAGATTAGTTTGAACCGAGTGGATGTTTTTAGTAAATGTTTCTTTAGGACTCACAAATCAAGCAGTTGAAAGCTTAAAACAAATATTAATAACTGAGTGGCAATCAAAATAAAACTGTTGAAACTAACTCACATGACTGTAAAAGCACTGACACACCAACATATAGCCATGGCTCCGGCAAACAGTTTCAGATAGAACCAATCTTCTGGCAAAATCAGTAGGATGTTGCACATAGCACATCCCAGAAATAAGCCTATGATAGCGGGCTTTCGACCGAAGCGCTTGAATAAGTATCCGCTAGATGTAATGCCCGGTATCTGCGAATAGTAAAATTGAAAAAATAAAAACAAATCACGATATTATAAACTACATGAACAGTTGGTTCACATAAGAGTTCTATTTCTGATTCCTGGTAGACATTTCAAAAGTATGTAATTCTCGTATTTAAATGTTAAGTAGAATAAGTAAGTAAGAAAATGTAAATTTGGGCGAAAACCATGATATCACCTGTAGTGCTCCTATCAGTATTGAACTCAGGAATACATTGCTGCTTGTCTGTCCGACGTATTGATTGCCTCCATAAAGGCTCACCCCTAAACAGAACCAGACCGCACATGAACACAAATTCGACAGCCACGTCGTGGGGTGACTGATCAGTATCCAATACGACATCTTAGCATTTTTATCTTTCTCACTTTGTATTTTTTCTTCACTAGAAATACGTTTGGCGATTTCCAAAGTATTTTGTGAAGGTAGATTGTTGCTGAAATAAAATTTATTTATTATCAAAAGTTTCTACTTTGAGCTCAGATCGCAATTTTAAGGTCACAGTTCTAAATTTGAGAAGTTAACGAATATAAGAAATTCACTTACTCTCTTATTGCTTTGTTCATAACTTGACTTGCCTCTTCCAATCTTCCCATAGAAATCAGCCATTTAGGCGATTCTGGTATCAAATATATATATAGTAGAAATATTAAATTCGGTATGCCCACGCCGAGACTGAATTTATTCCAACTCCTCAAATAGTACGAGAATAGCGGTAGTATCATCTGTCCCAGTGCGAACGGTAAATGGTACAAACTGGTTACAAGTTCTCTTTTCTTGGAACCAACTATTTCTACCACCAATACAAACGTCACCGCCATGATACCTGCTGTTGATGCTCCTAAGAATAATCTTAAAGCTAGAAAGACCCAATAGTTAGGGCTAAAGGGAACCACTAGGCTCAAAATTAGCTGCATCATGGAAGCGATCAACAGAGCTAATCGCCTTCCGTATCTGTAAAATAGATAATACAATTAATATCCTGAATATACAGTTATTGAATTGTATGTTAATATTTGTAAAAATCATAAATAAAATTTTAGCGGACGAAAAGTTTAAAGTTTTATCTAATGACAAATCATAAAATTGAATAAAAGCAATATTGATAAACGAAGTATGAATGAATGTAAATTGTTTTATCCTATTCTACAGATTACATAGAAAATAGTGCAGAAGGTTTGTTACATATTCAGAAAATGGACACTAACCTGTCAGCTACGAATCCGAAAAATATATTACCCAAGAGCACACCAAGCATCAACATCATTTGAGCAAAGTTTACCATCCAGGCTCTCTCACATATGAGATCCCATTCTGAGATAATTGTCATTTCGAAATCTGTGAAATACTCGTATCTCTCACAATCACTGTAACACGTGGAATTAGAAATATCGCCGGTTGAATTCCTTTCGATGCATCTGAATTGCGTCTTCGGTGCTAAGAATATTATCCCCAATAACGTCCAAATAGCGGACATCTTTGCAGGTATAGAGAGAAGAAGGATTAGGAGACATTGCCATTTTCCAAATTCACCTATCGCTTGTGTTAACTTGTCTTCCCTCTGTTTTGGTTCTGTCTCCATATTCACTTTAAAATACTTGTAGTCACTCTTAAGAAGTCAATATTACGCGACAGTGTCTGGATCGGTACTAACCTTATCAGGAAGATCATAAACATCATCTTGCGTACGTTAAAAAATATCTTACGATGTAATTACATCTTTGGGTGTCGTAATACTTAAACAAATACTATGTTTATTTTATTCAATATGATTGTATATTTTACTGCTACTACTTATATAAACAGTATTATAAATTTCTAACGCTAACTTAAGACGTAACAATATTTTAACGATTAACACTTTGTTATTATGACATGCTGAGTTTATGATGTGCTAGACACATTTCGTCTGGTCTATGTAATCCAATTTCAAGTGCGTTTGTAACTCCGTACCTACATTCCTCAAATGATTTTTTAAGGTGATAAAACTAATTAGAATCTAAGCCTCATGTACTTTAGAGTAACTACATCTTAAGGTAAAATAATAAACTCGTTAGACCTATGCTCAGTAGTAATAAGAATCTAAAGACCACTTCTATTCAAGAAAGTGCACGATCTTTCATATAATTTTTTCATAAAGTCAATTGAAAGACTATGTGAAGTTAATCGTGTGTAAGGTGAGTTGAGTATGAGTAGGGAAAAACAAGCAATCACAACAAATATTAATTTCATACTAATTTATTACAATGCAAATGCATATTTACATAGTTGCGTAAAGTGGGTCATAATGCCTAAGTTCATTGACTCGCTAGACGCTACGTTACTCTCCCCCTTTGAAAAAAATGAGTTGTCATTTTTACTAGGTACTACTACTGTACTATAACAATTAATATAAAAACGTATAAAACAATAACAATGTAGAAAAATAATTTACTGCAAAAACGGACTTCGGGTTTAACGGGTTTTGACGACCTCCGTGGCCGAGTGGTTTGTACGCCGGGTTTCATGGTGTCGCTGACTCGAGAGGTCCCGGGTTCGAATCCCGGTGGGGGCAGATGTTTGTGTGATGAACACTAGCATTTGTACTCCAGTCATGGATGTTTAATATGTATTTTTATATAAATATAATTATATATGTAAAGTATAATATGTATTCTATCCGTTACCCTAGTATCACATAACACAAGCCTTATAGTGCTTACTTTGGGGCTAGGCTAATTGGTGTGAGTGTTGGAAATATTTATTTATTTATTTATTTAACTATTTGACCTGACTTGGTAACATACGTCGGTGTCGAATTCGCGTCATCGCCCTGCGATTCAGTGCATATTTGCGCAGGCGATGCGTTTTTGATGTCGTTGCCCTCCTGAGCTATGGACGCTGGTTTCAATCGGTCGATTGTAATGACGCATGTTCTATTTCGCAACTGAATTTTGAAATATTTTTCATGTTTTTTCAATACTTGTTATGGGCCTTCATGCGGAGCTACTAATGGTTTCTTTACAGCGTCTACTCTGACAAACACATATTTGCACATATTTGGTAAAAGTGTTTTTGGGTGAATTTATATTTCTCAGAACTGGGCTGATGTTTTGGATGGATCGTTGCAATTCTTCAACAAATGATTCGGGTGCAATGACATTGTTTTGGTTTTTTACTTCCAAAAATATTCCCGGTATTCTAATGTTACTTCCGTAGACCATCTGTGCTGGACTGATGTCATAATCTTGTCGAACCGTTGTACGTAACCCTAATAAAATGGTAGGTAGCTCACGTGACCAGTCTATTGAGTTACCACGCGCTGTTATGGCTGTTTTCATGATTCTATGCCATCTCTCTACCATTCCGTTAGCTTGTGGGTGATAGCTTGTAGTCCTGATTATCTTAATACCCATTAACTTTGCCAACGATGTAAATAAAGGACACCCGGCATTTTATGCCAAAGTTGTATACTTTTTTATTTTTTTTATCTGTGTTTCATAATTGGGTAATGTAGTCTGGCAATATTTGTCATCAGCAGCTAGCTGTTAATGTCAAATACGTAGGTTTGTCAATATAACGTCTATATGTAGCTGGGTCGTCAAGAGAAATAATAACAAGAGAACATTCACAATCACAGTTCGCGGGAGCGGATGCGAAATGCGAATGATTTTTTGTTTGTATTTTAGGATTGTCAAATTGACATTTGGTTTTTTATTTAGAAAAAGCAAAGGAATCATGGTTTGTACAGTCACTTGAGTAATATTTTGAAGCAAAATTCTGTCCCTTGAAGATTTAGGGTTTCCATATCAAAAAATATTAATCATTATATAACTTCTTTCCACGCTTCACTAAAAATAAGGCAAAATTAGTTTTATGTAGCAAATAATTTTGGCTTTATTTTGAGACCAAATTCAACTGTATACAAGTATAGCATTTTTTCTATGAAAAGTGCCGGGTCTCCTTTGACTCGAACTGGCGCCTTGATCGGTAGTGATTCTTATGGGGCATCCAAACCTCGTAATCCAACTGTTATAAAAAGTTTTAGTTACTATTTTGGCTGTCACTTCCGGTTCAGGTATTGCTTCCGGCCACCGGGTAAAACGATCTATAAATGTTGCTACATATCTGTTGTTATTTGATATTGGCAGAGGTCCGACTATGTCTTTATGGACTTGCTCGAAATGTCCTGATTCGGGAAACTGCATAAGTGGTATGTTATTATGTCTAATGATCTTTGATTTATGGCACGGTATACATTACTTAGCCCATTTGCTGGCGTCCTGGTTCATTCGACTGACTGAGCTCTGCGGCTTTCGCTGTTAAAAAAATAAGACTCCTAACTGATGTGGAAACGGCAAGATTGGTTTACTTTGGTTACTTTCATAGCGTTATCATATGGCCTTTTATTATGGGCTCAGCTGCTAATATAGAAAGTATTTTCATACTGCAAAAGAGAGCTGTTCGCGCCATATATAATTTAAAGGCAAGGGAATCTCTTAGAGAAAACTTTAAAGAAATTAATATTTTAACACTGGCATCGCAATACATTTATGAAAATATAATATATGTAAGAAAAAACTATGACGCATTTGCAAAATAAAGTCAAACCCATAACTTTAACACGAGATTTAAAAACAAGCTTGCCGTTCCATGTTTCAGACTCCAAAAATCAAGAGGTTCATTTCTGGGATGTAGTATTGCATTATTTAAAAGTTCCCCAAGATCTGATTGAGCTTCCACTAACCAAATTTAGATCTCAGATCAAGAATTCTCTTATGAATAAGGGCTATTATAAAGTTAATGATTATCTAAATGATCGTAATGCATGGACATAGTGTTTCTTGTAATTTGTTATTTGATGGGTATGAGTCAGTTTTTGTAACAGTAATATGGGACCTATCTAATGCCGCTTCCTATATACTAAATATAAAATTTATTGTAACTATATATCTATATCCTAAATAATGTAATGGAAGGTGACTTCAGAAGTATCTCTGAAGTCATTTTTCAACTTGACGACTTTGTATATATCAATACAGGGAGAAAAAAGCAGCCCTTGCTGAGTTTCTTGCCGGTTCTTCTCAGTACAAGGTCTCCCGCCGTAGTTTTGCGAACCGATGGCGTAGCTTCTTGATCTTCACAAGTGCTTGTAACAGCCTAGACTGAATAAATGACTTTTTATTTCATTTCATTCCGGGCCAAAAGTAGTGTTTTTGGAGTAATTTCCTCGACGTTCTAATACCTGGATGTGTGACGTTGTGTAATTATTTATTTTTTCCATTTCAAATTGTTTTGTGGCAATATATTCTTCATTTCCGAGTCCTCATGTTGTCATTTTGCTATTTCATCCCAATTAATATTCATAGGGCAGTCTATTTGTGACACTCTGGAGAGTGCGTCGGCCACTATATTATGCGAACCTGAGACGTGTCTTATTTCCGTTGTAAACTGAGCTATACACCGTGTTCCTGAGGTTTGGCATATTATTCAGACACTTTTATGAATTCCAATTTCTTTAACATTTTTTATTTTCATACAAACTAAATGCTTAGATGTAATTTATCTAATATGAATTACTCTTTACCTGAGCTGGCAACGTCGCATTTGAAACTTTGGTTCACATGTCCACATAAACTTTTTGAAAATTTTCTTGACGTCAACAATGTTTTTTTAAAATTTTGACTTTTGGAACTATGACTTAATGACCATTGACAAAGAGTTGATAGTTTGATAGTTGTGGTTGCACAAAGTGGTTGCCACCATCTCACAGATGAAGACTCTTTCTCACTGCACAACACAATTAAGTTGGTTAAACTTAAATTACCAATAACTTAAAAACTATGCTATATAAACTACTACTTTCCTTCTACGATATGTTTAACAAGAGCTATAGAAGTATTATTCAAAGTTAATGTATATCCTCAGGAACACGGTGTATAGTCTAATTGACGTAATCGTCTCGTTGATATTTTTTATTTTGTGCTCGTTTTATTTGTATAGGTCAGTGGCTTATGGTCGGTGTGTATGATCAGTTCATGACTTTCACAATAATCTTGAAAATGACGTTTAGCCATTTTTATTGCCAACAGCTCTCTATCGTAGGTACTGTATCTCGCATACTTTTTTTTTGGCATACCTTCCAGCCATCAGCCGAAGTCGGAGACAAATTAGTGTATTTGAAGTAACTATGGTGCAAAGTAGTGATAAAGAAAAAGCATTTTTTGGAAATATTGTTTTATTCTTAACTAGTGGCCCGTCCTCGCTTCGCTTCGGTGTAGAGCTGTAGTGTAAACTATAGTTTTTGTTCTCAGGCTTGTGCTATAAAGAATGACTTTATTTATATAATTACACGTGTTATTGTGAGTCAATCATAAAAGATAGACATATGCTGTTGCGGGATATTTTTTAGACAATTTTATGTGGAATATTTCCGTCATACATGATTTCTATGTAACTTTAACCATTAAGGCTGCACACGCGACGGAAGCTTAAAAATGGAGTAACTTCTCCCGTTTTCCCAACATTTCCCTTCACTACTCTGCTCCTATTGATTGTATCGTGATGAAAAGTATACTATAACCTGCCCAGGAGTATGAAGAATAATTGTACCAAGTTTCGTTAAAATCCGTTGAGTAGTTTTTGTTTCTATAAGGAACATACACACAGACAGACAGACAGACAAAAATTTTACTGATTGCATTTTTGGCATCAGTATCGATCACTAATCACCCCCTGATAGTTATTTTAAAAATATATTTCATGTACAGAATTGACATCTCTACAGATTTATTATAAGTATAGATTATGTATGTTATTTGGTTTTAACGACAACGTTTAAATAACTTTTCGCCATCAACTCTTTAGTCTCCCATTGGCTAATCTCAATATCCGCTCTGAACTTGAAGAATGGCGTTTCGAACTTCAAATTTGGCATCGGCAACGTCAAGTTGTTGAGATGGTACACCCCCTGCGTAAAAAAATAAGTGAAAATAATTTTAATTTTTAGAGGAGCTCGATGGCGCGGGTGTTCAGCGCTTTTGGCTGCGATCGTTGAAGTTCAGCTTTCTTTCTCGCTTTCTACTTTCGCAGTGGTCGGTCTTTGGATGGGTGACCAAAAATCTAGCTCGAGTTCCTCCGTGCTTCGGATGGCAAGTTAAGACGTTGGTCGCGGCTGCCTCTGCAATCGTTAGCACTCACCAATCTACACTAGGCCCGCGTGGTGGGTCATGGCCCAATCTCCCTATTCCATCCATAGGAAAGGCATGTGCCCTAGTAGCGGGGATATTAGGCGATGGTGAAATTTCATTTTGCTAACGTAGTCAAAAAGGCAAAGAATTTTCTCCACACCACCTATACTTAAGCACGGTAATATTATATACAGAATTCTATCTTCATACAAACGGTCGGAAAACGAATCATACATCTACGCCGCTCGAGTTCGCGGGACTCTCGGGGGACACCCAGTCGCGAATGCGCCGCAGTGACGACTGAACGGTGTGAATTGTTTTTTATGCAGTTAGCCGTGCTTAAACGTGCGATTTGTATTGTAAATATTTCTATTGAATTAAGTAGATACCTACATAATTTAATATGGAAAAGAATAAACGACGATATTGTGCTGTTTTTGGTTGCTTTAACTCATCAATAACGCACCCAGAGATATCATTTTTTAAATTACCTGAAATATTGGAAAGGTAAGACTATAGAATAATTTTTATATACCTATCTACTAGTACATTATTTGTTTTTAATATTTAGGTATTTCGATTTTTTCATCGGGCAAAATATCTGGAATAATATATAAATAAGTGAATAGGGTGAAAAAAGAGACAAACGAGTAATCTACCTTCACTCGCGTTAAAAACAAAACTACATAATAGGTAGGTAGTTTCCTAGACTAGGCTATCTACTTACTTAACTACATATATTATTGAATAACTAAACTACATACATTATTGAATTAAATGAAATATCATTATGAAATAATTTACGAGAGTAATAAGTGGTAGGTATTGTAGTGATCGGATATTTTTGGTATATACTGGCAGGTTATTAGGTAATTTGAAAAAGATACGGATTGTTGACAGGAATTAATAGCTGGAAAATAATAAAATAATAATAATAATAACCTTTATTTCTCACCATAATCACAATGTTGGTATTAATGGCTACATAAAAACAATGATATAAACAGCATGCATTTTTTTTACCAAAAATAAAAGGTACGTATTGATCAGATTATGGTGGGTTGACACCTGAACTAGGATGAATCCTGTGTCTCAGGTAATCAACCCTCCACCCTATTCATAAAGTTGTGTACCATTTAGTAAACAATTTATTAATCCAGATAACTGTTCTTAAGTTATTAATTCAATGGAATAGCCAAAGGAGTTTGTTATGTGTGTGAGTGTGTGTATGTGTATGTGTGTGTGGGTGTGGGTGTATGTGTGTGTGTGTGAGAGAAAATAGGGAGATTTGTGCGAAGTTTAAAAAACAGTATTTTGTTTATTGATATTAATCAACTTATAACGCCAAAATAAAATATTTGCAATCACAGAACTAGAAAGAAACTCCTTTATGTAGATGAAATTAAAATACTGTAGGCGGTCAGCCCTACCGCGTGGATGCGCCCCGCTCGGCCGTAGGTAATTATTTCAAGGACAGGGCCCAGTCACAATACTGTATAGATAATATTACCGTGACTTAAGTGTGTAGATGTTGATGTTGTATAAAACGTCTATGCGGATCTGTGTTTATGTATTTTTTCCATAATATCATCTGCGCTTAATGATATAACATTTATTGTGCGAATCTTAAAAAATTTGATATCTTTAGAAGCTGTTATCTCCAAAAGTATATCCCCATATTCCGTGGAGTGTTTTCAACTTTCCTCATTGCAGTAACATAGTACTACTGAACAGTAATATCTATCTACAGTCTTCTGTAAGAGAATATTTCTAGATATAGTTATTTCTATACTATTGAATTAGTTATTTGCACATATCTTTTGTCTCCAAAAGGGGGTTTATTTCCAAAGATATATTATTAGTACATGTCTACACTATCTATAGAGCATAAATGTTAAATTTCAAGTTTCTTACTTCAAAAGCATAGGACTTTCATACAAACTTTGGAAGAAATAAAGGTTCACTGCTCGTTCCCCGTAGGTGATAGCGTGATGATATGTAGCCTTTATGTTGACAAGAATTCTTAATAATATTCGTACCAAATTTGAAGTAAATCCATGCAGTACTTTTTGAGTTTATCCCGGACATACGGTCGCGGTCAGAAAATGTTTACCACCTTAAGGATCATAATTGCATGCACACATTTAGGTCACAAGTTCCAAATGTCTATTTCATCATCATGTGGCGGCGACATCTACATGCCCCACATATAACCAACATAGAGGAATTATTCACTCGCCATCTTCAAGAGATGGCGCTGCCGGCGCTGCACTAACAACGTATGGAAATACTACAAGGTCTTGATTTCACCTATGGATACTGTGATGATATCCTCGTCTTTTCCTCGTCTCAAGCTGAACACCTGCAGCACCTGGAAACTGTATTTGAGCGTTTTAAACAATATAGCTTATTATTGAACACGTCGAAATGCATTTGGGGCACAGATCAGGTAACTTTTCTTGGTTATGATGTATCGGCCGATGGCACTCGCCACAATAATTTGATTAAATAAATAAATAAATATTTCCAACACTCACACCAATTAGCCTAGCCCCAAAGTAAGCACTATAAGGCTTGTGTTATGGGATGCTAGGGTAACGGATAGAATACATAAACTGTATATATATATATATATACACACATCAAAAGTCTAGGGATCAACATATATTTTTGCAATAACTTTTCTCCTGATTGATATTAATTAAAATTTTCTTTAAGGATTCATCAAATAAAGTGTTTTCGTTTGTCACAGTAACGATAAACCAAGTCACCTTTGCATTAATAAAGAAATTTGCCATTTCCTAATAAAGGGATTTTTGACATCTGAACCACTAACACAAAAGTTCGAAAAAAAGACTGAAATAACAGTTTTCTCTAAAATTTTATTGGGTAACTTAAACAATTAATAATCCGTATTTCTACCGCGAACACTAACAACACAAGAACATCGGTTTGGCATACTCAAAATGAGTTCATCCAAATCACGCTGTGGAATGGCCGCCCATGTTCGTTGCAACAACAAAAAAAGGTCTTCTTGCGACTGGATACCCTCCATATTCGGCAGAGCTCTTCTCTGTAGCATATCCCATGCATGCTCAATCGGGTTCAAGTCTGGCGACTGAGCAGGCCAGGGCAGGACATTGATGTTAGCTGCGGCGAGAGTCTGTCTTACAACTCTTGCGGTGTGCGGTCGTGCATTATCATGCATTAACTGAAATAAGGGACCGATTTGCACTTGTAGAGGAACGATGACGTCTGATACAATCGTCTCAGCATAAATTTGAGCGTTGAGGTTGCCTCTGATCCAAATCAACTCAGTTCTTCCGCCGATCCAAATACCCGCCCATACCATGATGGTTCCACCACTATAAGGATGGACTTCCTGGCAGGATTTTAATCGCTGTTGGCGTCCAGGGGTTCTCCAGTGTCGTATACGTCTTGTATCCGGTCTCATACCAAAACGAGACTCATCAGAAAAGCACACGAAACGCCATTGTTCTTCTGCCCAATTTCTGTGTTCAAGAGCCCATTGATATCGAATCCTACGATTGTGCATTGCTATAGGTGGTACCCGTAGCGGTCTTCGGGAATGAAGGTTCACTTCATGCAAGCGGTTTCTGACTGTTTGGTCGCTAATTAAGTTCCCTGAAGAGTGATGAAGCCTCACGGCTAACATCATGGCGGTTATTGTTGGAGCTCTTCGAGTTAAGATTTGAATGTATCGGTCTTGTCTCCGTGTGGTGCAGCGATACCGTCCTCCATGGCGCTCAGCCACGGTACCAGTGCTTCGGTATCGTGTCCAAAGTCGACTGATAACACTCTGACTTGTATTCAGAGCTAAAGCCACAGTACGTTGCCGGGAACCAGCTTCTATCATTCCCACGGCTCTGAGCATTTCTTCCCTGCTTAAATGACGTCGCCGCTCCATAATAACGTTGGTTTTAATCAGTAGTAGGGAAACAGTAGCACTAATAATGTCTTCAATGCGTTGTATGTTTTTATAGGGAAAATATTGACAGCTGATTTTCATCTTTTACTCGAATTTGATTCACAGTTCCTGATTCAAATTATGAAATGCACCAAAAAGGATCCATATAAATTTATAAAATCATAAATTTATTACAAAGCCACATCTCAATCTCAAGAAATCCGCATAAAAATGCTTGATCCCTAGACACTTTTGATGTGTGTATATACTAGCGGACCCGACAGACGTTGTCCTGTCTACACGTCTTTAATTTGAAAATTTCAAACTTTTTTTAATAAGCTAAAACATTCTGGACCATTTTGATGAAAATTACCATTCTCAGATCCCCTTCAGACACACACAAAAAATTTCATCAAAATCGGTCCAGTCGTTTAAGAGAAGTTCAGTGACATACACACTCACAGAAGAATTATATATATAAAGATATATATACTTATATTTATATAGAAACGTGTTAAACATCCATGACTGGAGTTCAAATGCTCGTATTCCTTACACAAACATCTGCCCCCACCAGGATTCGAACCCGGGACCTCTCGGCGTACAAACCACTCGGCCACGGAGGTGATTGACCACAGATTATCTTTTTTGTAATGATATGACAATCAATCAATATATATATAAATATTAATATTACCTATATTAATATTTATAAAATAATAATTTAAAGTGAGATAAGATGTTTCTAACCGTGTAATGCTATTTTTGAATGAAATAAAATGCCACTTACTTACCGCGATACGCTGGGTGATATATTTTGTGTTGTTTCGGAATATCTTTTTGAAATATATTAATGTGTGCATGTTTGTTTCACTGTATTATTGTAAAGTTTTAATTTAATGTCCGAGATGTAAAGAAATGTCCCGCGTCTTGTCATGCGTGTACGAAGTTTTGTATGAATTCCTTGATGAAATTCAATTCGAGCGCTAAAACCAAAACAAATTGGTACAGAAGTCAGAAGGCTCGGTGATCGCGCCCAAGGATTGTCAACTTTGACTTATGCCCATAGAACTATCATGGATTAAGTCAAAATTCAATTAAGTCAAAAAACTATATATGGATAGTGATTATTGGGATAAGCACTATGCGTATATATTTTTTTGAATTACCGTTGAGGATGAAACAGAAAGAATGATTCAGACAGAATTAATTATTTTAAACCAATAATTATTATTTAATCCATATTTGGACTAAAATGTTCACAGGTTTGGTCTCATGCAGATGGAAGTCGGGCACGCACTGGTCCTAACAGGTCCGAGAGCGGTGTCTACATGTGCATTGTTCGAGCGCAATTTGTATGTAGAGTGACTTCTGTACCTGTCTGTTTTGTGGCTCAACCAAGCGGCGCGCGTAAGGCCCTGCGCACACAGCTGCAGAAAAACCATGAAAAATAAACTGCTTTGAATAATAACGACATATAAAATTTCTCTGATCTTCTTTCACTCCCCGTGGTAAATGCAATAGAAGATGCAGAGCGAAGTTATAACTCGATAGGCGGTAGGTACAATGTATCGGATAGGGTTGATATTTGCGCTATCAGGATATAATATGATGTTTAAGTTGGAATGAAGTCCCTTCCCCCCTTATTAATAAACAAGGAATAAGCTTAGACTAGTTACGCCGGTTTTTGTTCAAGTCACTCAAAGGTCATTTGTTATTCCACAGACAGAGACAAAACATGGAGTAACTAATCCAAGCCTAGTCTTTGTTTATTTATAAGGGGATTCATGTTACATAACTTCACGTTTGATCTGGAACATTAGGCCGCTGTGGAAACGCATTTGCTTTTATGTTGTACAGCAATTATTTAAATCGGGTATGAAAAGTGGGGTAAAATTGATTTCAGGAGTCTTCAAAGTAGGGCAAGCAATAGATGAAATCAGCTGATTCGCCCAATGACTTCCTTCACTGGCAAATAAGACAATGGTCAATGAATGGACTTTTGACACTGGCGACAGAACAGTATTAGCAGCAGGTAAAAATTGGATAAAAATGAAACGAAATTTTGCCACATTTTATCAACCTCATGTTTTATTCCGTGCGAAGTCAGCACGATGTCGCTAAGCCTTTCCACCGCGGGACTTGTTCTTTACCAAGCTCCAGTACACGTAGCCGGTATAGAACACCTCTCTGGTGTCCGTGATCTCTCCTATGACATCAGCTCGACCCTTCATGAATGGGAACACATTGGGGAAGTCCTCCATGACAATCGTCATGTTTTGCAGGAAATGTTCACCCTGGAATTAATGATAGTTAATAAATCTAAAGAAAATTTAAATCCACGCGGTCCAGGCAGCAGACGGGGCTCGAACCCGCACCCTCCGCTATCCGGGCGGATTCACTGACCAATAGGCTAGTTGACTCATGTCTAATTGCACTACACAAATGTTTATTTCTTATAATTTTTGGTATGGGGAACCTAAATACATCGATATCACTTCATAAAATTAGACGATGACTGTAGTCATTTAATTTGAAAAATAGTTTTTTAGTCTATGCTTTTTAAACACTAAAAACGCTGTCCATCATGAGTGTGTCAACATATTAGCAAACAACTAAACGTCATTGTTGTGTTACTGTGGTTTCTTTTGTCCGACTAAAATATTTCTAAAAACTCTTATATCTTGAAGAAAAGTTTCCGTTTATTGGTTTTCTTGACTAAATTAATGCTGGACGCCGGAATTGTGAAAGCAGAAACGATAAAACTCTATGACTTAGCAGGTACATTCATAACCTTAAAAATTTAAACCACAGCATTTCTGGAGTATTTAACGATGGTTTTCTATAGTCTCGTATAATACAATCATGATAATTACTATATTTATCATGAAATCTTTTAGAAATCATGGTTTTGTAAAGTAAATTCTGATAGTTATGATTTAATTTATTTTTAAGCATTTAACTGCTAGATGTTTAAATCTAAAGAAAAGTTTACTAGAAAAAAATCCACGCGGACCAGGCAGCGGACGGGACTCGAACCCGCATCCTTCGCTATCCGGGCTAATGCACTGACCATTATGCTACCACGGCCCGATTAGCCGCGTCGAAATTTTCCTAGCCTTAAGCTGCAAGGCAGCGCCATCTCTTCGCATTGTAGGTAACCCACAATGTCAAATGAATACTTTTTCAAGTATTAAACATTTGAAAGAAGAAATAGCAATTATAGTTATGATTTAATTTATTTTTAAGCATATAACTGCTAGATGTTTAAATCTAAAGAAAAGTTTACTAGAAAAAAAAAAAGAAAAAGATGGCGCTGCCTTGCAGCTTAAGGCTAGGAAAATTTCGACGCGGCTAATCGGGCCGTGGTAGCATAATGGTCAGTGCATTCGCCCGGATAGCGAAGGATGCGGGTTCGAGTCCCGTCCGCTGCCTGGTCCGCGTGGATTTTTTTCTAGTAAACTTTTCTTTAAATTCTGATAGGTTATATCCTACGTGCTTGCGAGTGTTTGCTTACTATTTTGTTCCCGTCATACCAAAGATAATGTATAGACTTAAATGGCCGACAGCGTTTTTGTATGTCTATTTTAAAATTAAAGTTTTGTAGCTTTCTAGGTCAAAAAAAATACAACACATTTTTTTCGGTCTAATTGAACAATTATTATCCATTTAAAACATAATTCCAAAAAGTGTCAACTAGCCTATTATGCTACCGCGGCCCTAATGGCCGTGACGAATTTCTTCTGGTGTTTCATAGGTTGCAAGGCTTTAGGGCCGCGATAGTATAATTGGTCAGTGCGTCCGCCCGGATAGCGGAGGCCACGGATTCGAGTCCCGTCTGCTACCTGGACCGCGTGGAATTTTTTCTTAAGTCTGACGAATAAATAAATCTTCCGTGTACAATGAGGTTGATGTAAAGTATCCGAAATTCTATCAATTCCGTTAGTTAGATTATCAAAAATATAATGGACATCAATGAAAATAAACATACATATATTGTTATGTATGTTAAACTTTCATGGGCACTAACAAGTCAAATGTCTGGAATCTAGTGTTTCGTATGTGCAAAAACCACAACAATCAAAAAAGTGTCATTCCACGATCTGATACTGTGAGTGTTATGTGTCGGGAATAGGTGCGAGTGAATAGTGAGAATGTGACCAATGGTAGGGGTATCGAGCGCAGTAAAAGACGAGGTCAGAGGGTAGACCGATATGTCTGCCAATAACATCTACCCGCAATTACTTCAGTTACTCCGTGATCATGGCGCTTGCAACAGTGCCGAAATATCGGAGACTCATAAGAAACAAGGTACATGGTAACAATCCCGTTAATAGATACAAATATAGGTAGATATGTCACTAGCGCGCTCAACTTGTTGCAGACAAATTCAGATAACTGTTTTAATTTGATTTCTTCGGCTAATAGCAGCCAGCGAAACAAATCGTATCTGTGGCGTGTCAATCAAGTGTCAATAATATAAATAAAATGCCAAATTCTGTGTTCAGAAAATGTAAAAACACATAAACCACACGTACGTATAGAAAAGAACATAATTTTTGTTTCATTGTCATGGTTTCATTTCTCATTTACTGAAATTATGCGTATGCATCATAGAATAATCATCCAGAAGCTAAATTGTGGGTACAATACAATGTACTGTGCCTACAAACTACACTTTGTTATAGCGTACGTTAGGCGTTTGATTGCGCAACGGGAGTTATATCACGGTAATATTATCTATACAGTATTGTAATTCAGCCCTGTCCTTGAAATAACTGCCTACGGCCGAGCGGGGCGTATCCACGCGGGAAGGCTGCCTACAGTATTTTAATTTCATCTACATAATTGAGTTTCTAGTTTTGTGACTGTATATATTTTATTTCATATGTAAATGGAAATGAAATTGAAATTGTGCATGAAGGAATATATAGGAAGTGTTACATAAAATACATGTTATTTTAAGTGTAATATTGAAAATAAAAATATATATAGATTTGAGACAGAAAAATATTTACGCCTCGAATGAGACGTACGAAAAGCTTTACTATTAAACTTAATAGTATAACAAAAACGCATTCGTATCAAAAATTTGATTATTGAAGAGTTCAATTTGATAGATAGATAGATAGATAAAAACTTTATTCACACCAACATGCACACATACAAAATTGAATACAAATTTTACAATTATATAAATCCTTTAAAAATATAACAAATTATATTTATACAATAATACTGTTTATACAATAATATTTTCGTGTGCAGCAGTGATGCGAATGGGCGAAAACTCAGCGTAACATTTACTCCGAGAGTAAATCGCTGATTTTCATTTCTGACCCATATAGATGAGGTCACGCAATTTGGTGTAAATACGATTCAACGCAGCGTATTGTTGTCCTGATCTTGATAAGAAAATGGCGATTACGTAAATAACATTCACGACATACCGTGATTTTTGGGGAAAAAAGGTTTTTAAAGTTTTACTAATGAAAAGTGTTACCGAGGTATTTGTTATTTGATTTTGAACTATTTGTGTTCTTTATAAAAGTATCTAAGGCATTGTTTTATCTTTATAACACAATATACGCAGTATTGTTATATTGACTGCACATGCAGCTTGTTTGAATGTCCAATTGTGACTAAAGCTACTTGTGGTCATGCACCACAATTTAAGCGGATCACTTTTGAGCCGTGAGTGCCGTATCTTACCTTTTTACTTTAATATAAGGATATGCCTCATGTCATTCTCGTATACTCCCATTGTGCTCCTTGCTACACTGTTTCCCATTTGAAACTTACACGAATTCCTATTATCTACAAGAGTTCTTCTTACCGGAGGTACTGGACAGCGAATGCCCGCTTGGCGCAACATCGTGCCGAATATGTGGTCGTTGGACACCAGGTCGCACAAGGGGAACCGGAAATCCAAGAATGACGGCTTGTACATGTTGCTTAACTTCTCTTTCAAGTTTATTACTACCTGAAATTTTGATACATGCTTAGGTGCTAAGCTCATTATCATCAGTATATTAATCCCTACTGTTCCTCTTATTCTTAGACCCCTCAGGGATTGGCACTAGAGGCAAATGGGAATATTAAAACTGAAGTGGGGGCAATGACTTCATTCCCATTTAGCTCCGGAGACATCCTAGCAGGGGTGACTGGGAATTAAAGACCTCTCGGCGATTGCCACCGGAGGCAAATGGCTATAATAAAAGTGAAATGGGGGTAATGACTCCATTCCCACTTAGCACCGGAGGCATCCTAGCAGGGGTGACTGGGAATAAAGGACCCCTCGGGGATTGCCAACGGACGCAAATGGGAATAATTAAACTGAAATGGGGGCAATGACTTCATTCCCATTTAGCTCCGCAGGCATTCTAGCAGGGGTGAATGGGAATTAAGGACCCCTCGGGGATTGCCAACGGACGCAAATGGGAATAATAAAACTGATGTGGGGAAAACACATTTGCCTTCGATGGCAATCCTCGTGGGCGTGACTGGGAGGCATTGCTCTCAGCGCCATCGCTCTTCCGTAGTCTGTACTATATCAACCGTATTCAGATTTTGTAGGCACTGGAGCTTATCTAACGGATCTTCAACGAGGCACATCACATCCGTAGGTCGCCTATACGGTAGATACAGCCGAGACGAACGCCTTAAAGTGCCTTTCAAAGTACGGAGGAACTAGGGAAAATTTCAGTTAGGTACCTATCCTATGGTTGGTAACATTTCGAAAGTTCCTCAACTTTATGATCGTAGATCGAAAGCGTGTGCGAATGCGCCATCGCTCCACCGTAGTCTGTACTATATCAACCTAATACAGATTTTGTAGGCACTGGAGCTTATATCTTATAGATCCTCATTGAGGCAAGTTACCTAACAAGTTAGCACCCGTTAATCCACATCTCTCGATCGCCTGTGGTCTGGTGATGATCATGATATATCTCGTAACTGACCGTGATATTGTTAGTCCAAGGTTGCTTGTTAATCCCGGCTATGTTCAAGTAGTAGGGGCTCGTGCGGCTGTACTTCTTGATGGAAAACTTGGCGTACACCAGGTACTTCTCGTTAACGTACACGTCCTCGGTCCTCTCGAGAATCGCGCGATAGCACTGTCGGTCAGGCGCCAGTTTAGAAAATGGACCAGAAATGGGCGATCCTTATTATGTGCGCTGGTTCTATATTAATTTTAAGTAATTATATGGACTGTATATTATTTTGCGGATTTAGGAAAATGGCTGACGATCTGAGTCAAAAAAGAGTGCGATAGATATAAAATTTGTGCACTTACCGGCAAGGAAGGAGGGTTCAGGAAAGCTCAAGATTAGATCCAGCAGGAAAGTAACAGCGCGTGTTAACGCGCTTGCGTCTAATTAGTAGCACAAACACAAAAACTTTATAGTTTCGTATAGCATAACATACTGTAGTGGCACTGTGTTGCGGAGGTATAACTCGGGAACAAATACTTATACGGGAGCGAGCGGCGTGAGGGGCGCGTGCGACGCGTGCGGCGGTTCGATGGCGAGAGAAATGTAGAATAGGCTTGTTGAAAATATATCGATGTATCGATATATCGATATTTTTTGCCGATATATTTTGATTTAATATATAGATAAATAAATAAATCTTACCAACACTCACACCAATTAGCCTAGCCCCAAAATAAGCACTGTAAGGCTTGTGTTATGGGATACTAGGGTAACGGATAGAATACATATATTGTACATATATAAGTATATTTATATAGAAATACATATTAAACATCCATGACTGGAGTACAAATGCTCGTATTCATCACACAAACATCTGCCCCCACCGGGATTCGAACCCGGGACCTCTCGAGTCGGCGACACCATGAAACCCGGCGTACAAACCACTCGGCCACGGAGGTCGTCAAATCAAATCGATACATCGATACAAAATAACCAATATCGAAATTCGTATCAAAAACGATATTTTTTTAATTATTAGCGGCATATCACGATTTAACTAAATTAGTATCGGGAAAAATCGTAACTGGATCTCAGATTAATGATATTCAACATATCTATGATCTGTGCTGTATTTAGTATAGTCTATGTCATCATTCGAAAATAGGGTCTATTTTTAGGGCGATAATTTTCGTTCCATTATTATTCCGCGTGTCATATTTCGTGAGCTACTGTACGATATTTTTGGGAAAATTGGTCCGATATATCGATGTTTTTTTCGCGATATATCGAAGCTGATATTAATATTTTTTAAAAGATCGATGTATCGATATATAGATATTTTTTTCAACTTTCGACATCCCTAATAGAAGACACAAGACAAAAATGGCGCGCGGCTGCACGGCCGGCCTCGCAGGTGCGGTGAGCGGGGGGGAGACAACAGACGCGGAGCGAGAAAGAGAAGGAAATAGTATGAAGCGATAGGAAAAAAGGAGAGAGGGCACTGGACGAGAGGATTACCATATAAGGGCTCAAAATTATCCACGCACAAATCGATGAACAAACCGCTAAACCAGACTCAATATAAGCAAATTAAATACAAATCCTAGATTATGCGCAAAATTTTCACTCGATGTTAATACGAAACGTAATAATTGTAGAGATATAATTTGAAAATTAAATTTGAACATACACACATCATAAAAAGTTTGAGATCACTTGCATAAGCATATATTTTCAAAATTTAACTTAATCAATAGAAAATGTTTACGGTATATCTTCTTTTTATTTAAAAGGAAGATATTGAAATAAAAAAATAAAACTAATTTTATTTTTTAGTATAAAAAATTTAATAATTCAATCCTAAGGCGATTGTAATAGAACTTTGATAGTAATAAAAAGATAGTTTCAACAAACTTAAAAACCTTTTATTAATAAATTGTTGTTTATCTTATACAAAATAACTCCTCCTCCGGCTTGAACACATGCGGAGATCCTCCTGGGCATGCTGAAGATCAAGTTATCTAGTATTTCTTGTGGTAACCTGTCCCATTCTTGAACAGCAGCTTCCCTGAGCTGCGGCACTGTCTGGGGTGGTGGCTGCCGGTTCCAAACAGCTCGCTTAAGAGCATCCCACGCGTGCTCTATTGGGTTTAAGTCAGGAGAGCCGGCAGGCCAGTCTAACCTTGTGATTTCGTATTCTCGGAGAGCAGCATTGACTCGTTAAGCACGATGTGCGGACGCATTATCGTCAACTAGTACAAATTTGTGCCCATGGTTTACTCGGAAAGGTCTGACGATTCCATCAATAGCAACTGTTATGTATCTGTCTGCCTTTATAAAGCCTTGATAAGGGATTAAAGGCGTTCTAGCCCCAATCATAATACCACCCCAAAAGGACACTGATTTCCCGCCTTGCTGAACCGTTCCAGTGGCCGTTCTTTGCCTAGCAGAGTCTCCAGGTCTTCTCCAAACACGGACACGTCGGTTATCTGGATGAGAACTGATTCGCGATTCGTCAACGAAGACGCAGTTTTGCCAAATGTTTTCCTTTTCGTCTTCTTCTGAGCTGAGCTGACGTTGCCGTGAATTCAAAGGTGCTCGCCAAGACCTCCGTGCTCGTAATCCAGCCATGTGTAAGCAATTCCGAATAGTCCGAGTGCTAACTTCAAGTCCGGAGGCGGCCCGTATTTCTGCTTTTAATTTAGTGGCGTTTGTTGTTGGGTCGCGGTTTACCAGCGCTTCTGAGCAGCTGTGAAAACAGTTGGGCGACCGCTGCGGCATCGATCAGTTAAATTACCCATGCCGTGGTTACTACACAGGATTGGGATATGGCAACTCTGCGTGCTATTTTTCTCGTAGAATAGCCTTCTTCCCTCAAAGTTACAATTCTGGTTCGTAAAACATCTGATAATCCTCGTAGCATTTTTTAATTCACAACTTTCCGTGAAATTTTTTTTAAATTCGATAATATTGTCTAAGTCAGATTTCTGAATGAGTGTCAGCTTGGATTGCATGTCTTTTTATATAGGGAAAAACAATTGTTTTTTTTATTGTTTTACGTTCTAATTCTAATTTCAAAATTTAGAATCTTATCAGAAAAATAAATTACAAAAAAGTCGTCTGTAACACAAAAAACAATCTATTTTTCAAAGTGATCGCAAACTTTTTTGATGTGTGTACAAAGAGAAATACCTAATTATTAGGTTCTTACATATGAAATTAGCGTTTTGTCGTACTGACCACTTTGATCTGAAATATCTCCTCTTTGGTTAAGAATTCCAAATTCAAATTTATAAATTGATTTAGCTGATACATTTGATATTTGAAAACAGTCATTCATTTGTTTTTTCCCTCATTATTTTTTTCTTTGGCGACGTTTATTTCTGCACAAAGGAAAACATGAAAAATCGGTATTTTAACAAGTACCAGTTCTACCGTGGCACCAGTGCTCGAAGGATTAATGATGTGTACGTGGCTGGTGTCTGTGAATTTGGACAACTTTTTACAAGGAAAAAAAATCTCATCCGTTGCGGCAGTCCAAACTGCCTTCAAGGAGTTTATTGATTCTCGCCCCCATGGTTTTTTTTAGTGAAGGGATCAATGAACTACCTATAAGATGGCAAAAGTTCATAGGTAACAAATTTACATACTTTGAATAATCCATGTATATAAAACTCAAAGGACTGACTGCCTGACATAGTGATCTATCAACTCACAGCCCAAACCACTGGACGGATCGGGCTGAAATTTGGCATGCAGGTAGATGCTATGACGTAGGCATCCGCTAAGAAAGGATATTGATCTATTCTACCCCCAAGGGGATAAAATAGGGAATGAAAGTTTGTATGAAACTTTGTCAATTTTAAACCGATCGGGCTGAGACTTTGCATGCAGGTATAAGAAGAATCATAGATGAATGTCATTGTGTATAATACAAGCCTGAGAACAAAAACTGTAGTTTACACTTCAGCTCTACACCGAAGCGGAGCGAGGGCGGGCCGCTAGTTAAATATATTTTACAAAAAAAGACATTGTCTTTATATTCCTCGCGTACAAAACGCCAATTTCATATGTAAGGACCCTAATATATAATCGCATTTATAATATAAGTATCATCATAATGGTGCAGATCTCCCTATCTTAGGTACGGTGGCTCGTTATCACTTTCATCTGCACTATTAATGGTGTAAGTTAAACTGTGGAATATATTGTCGCCAGCAGTGTTTCCGGACCAATACGACCCAAAAACCTTCAAAAAAAGACCGTACTCCTTCCTTAAAGGCCGGCATCGCATTTGTGATACTCCTGGTGTTGCAAGTGTCCATGGGCGACGGTGATCACTTACCATCAGGTGAGCCGTCTGCTCGTATGCCCCCTATAATAATAAAAAAAAAAGTTAATGGTGCATTCGATACAACGGAGGTATAAATGACTTACCAAAGTGGATCTTATAATAAAATATAGAGCAATGAGCTCTTTTACTTTAAGTAGCATTGTATAAATGTGGGCGATGTTGAATAGACACTGAATATTTAGTTCAGTTATATGACAAATAAAGTGATTTTTGATTATAATATTATCTGAATCAAATGTTTATTGTGTCATTATATCTTCATTTGATGGATATTTAATTTTAGTAACGCAATTGTACGCATTGATTTTTAAGCTAGATAACACTTCAAAAGTATCTAAGTAGCGATCAAGTACACAACGTAGGTACGCAATTGATTTCCCATAATTTGGAAATAATGAAATTAAAAGAAAATATAACTAGAAAAAATTCCACGCGGACGAGGCAGCAGACGGGACTCGAACCCTCACCCTTCGCAATCCGGGCGAATGCACTGACCAATTATGCTACCGCGGCCCTGACGGACCGCGTCGAAATTCCTCTAGCCATTCTTAAGCTGCAAGGCAGCGTCATCTCTTCGCATTATAGGTAAACCACAATGTCAAATGAATACTTTTACAAGCATTAAACATTTGAAAGAACAATAAATAATATGTGGGTTTCCTATAATGCGAAGAGATGGCGCTGCCTTGCAGCTTAAGAATGGCTAGAGGAATTTCGACGCGGTCCGTGAGGGCTGCGGTAGCATAATTGGTCAATGCCCGGATTGTGAGGGGTGCGGGTTCGGGTCCGCGTGGATTTTTTTCTAGTTATATTTTCTTTAGATTTAAACATCAAGCAGTTACATGCCTTAAAAAAAGAATTATAACAATAATGAAATTATTTAATTACTTCTTAATTTTTACAAAATATCTAGGTTTATTGTTTTAAACTTTCATGGTCACTAACATTATAGCTAATAACGGGATTGTTGACTCCGTGATCATGGCGCTTGCAACAGTGCCGAAATATCGGAGACTCATAAAAAACAAGGTACATGGTAACAATCCCGTTAATAGCTATATTATATAGGTTTCTTACAAAATCAAAGTAATAAAGAAAATCTGAGAGTCGATTTGATAAAGGCCAAGGGGGATTTTGTATGGACCCCGTCCCCACCCTACAACAGAGACGGGATGCGTGTCCATTAGTTCATTCGTGAACAAAACACTTATTTTGCTTGGGAAATCGATGGGGTTTAGTTATAATTAAAAAAAAATATTTTCAGTTATGTTTTTTTAAGCATTTAAATGCTAGATGTTTAAATCCAAAGAGAAGTATATGTAAAAAAACCATAACTATAATTGCTATTTCTTCTTTCAAATGTTTAATACTTGAAAAAGTATTCATTTGACATTGTGGGTTGCCTACAATGCGAAGAGATGGCGCTGCCTTGCAGCTTAAGGCTAGGAAAATTTTGACGCGGCCATTAGGGCCGTGGTAGCATAATTGGTCAGTGCATTCGCCCGGATTGCGAAGGGTGCGGGTTCGAGTCCCGTCCGCTGCCTGGTCCGCGTGGATTTTTTTTTCTAGTAAAACTTTTCTTTTGATTTAAATATATTTTCTATAAAATATGTTCATTATCTTACAAAAATATATTTTTCTTATAAAATATGGCCTCGAACTGAAAAATTATGACTTACAAATACAATTTTTCCCTAATGTTCTTTTTTAACCGACTTCAATAAGGATAAAGTTCTCATTTCGTCATTAGATATTTTTTTTATTGTTATTTGCACATAGCTCCGAAATACGTGGACCAATTATTATAATTTATTTTTTGTTCGAATCAGTTTCATTTAACGAAATATGACTAATTCGGGTGAAACTGCTGGTATTTATAAAACGTTAACCTCAATTAATTTGAAGTATGTCGCCATTGTAAGAAATTATCTATCCTGTACTCTTAGTACGAGTTTCACAATTACAAATTAAAATTATGATAGTTTTCGTAAGCTCGCACTCGTACTAAGGGTACTGATTTTATTGTTTTCGTTTCAATACAAATAAACAGTGTTTAAATTATATCATTAAAACATTTGCATCTTCGTAAATTTTAAGTATATTTGGTTAATTTTCACCAAAATGGACATAGAAACATAATTTACAATTACGAAAACTATGATAGTTTTCGTCAGCTCAAACTGGTACTGAAGGTACTGCTAGGCGCTTCGAATGACACTTGTTTCAAATCTGTTGGAGGGTGTGGACTTTTCTGCTCATTGTCCATTATTTTTTTTTTATTATAATGAGGTAATTTTTATTGCAAAAACATTCTTGAACTTCAAATACTTCACATGTCATTTTTGAAGTTATACTTCTTTAGGCGCGTTATGAAAAAATGATGAGAGTGAAATTTTAAGATGCGCGCGCATCACTGTAACACAAAAATGTACTTTTGTGTTTACCGCATATTAAGAAAATCTACCGACAAAATAGAAATAGAATCTCTATTTAGTGGGTGCTAACGACTGCATTGTGAAGGCCTATCAAAAGTATTTATTAATCTGGAACAACGGAACCAAAGCGCGATTCAGGAGACTACAGCGCCATCTCTTGACCATTGGTGTAGTAGAACCAAAAACCACATCTTTATTTTTTGTAATAAAGTAACAGTTATAGGTATTCATATTTATAATATCAAAAGTATTTATTAATCTGGAACAACGGAACCAAAGCGCGATTCAGGAGAGAGGAGACTACAGCGCCATCTCTTGACCATTGGTGTAGTAGAACCAAAAACCACATCTTTATTTTTTGTAATAAAGTAACAGTTATAGGTATTCATATTTATAATATTTATCCACACGTTTCTAGTTTGTTTGTTTCATAAGTACATGCACCCATTTTTTTTTTAAATAAATCTACTAATAGACTTGTCAATAAGTGAATCTTCTTAGCAATTCTGCCAGATACACGATTTTTCCAATCAGTTTTTTTTTAAATATCTTTTTGTGAATTTCCTATGTTCAAGAGGAGTGCAAGTATTGAGAAGTTCGATGCCGTAAGTGGTTAGCGCGAGGTCTGCCATTGTGTATGCGAAGCAACTATCGCAATGGCCCCTTAAAGAATGGGTGGCTAAGATTATCTCAAGCCCCATGCTTCGGAAAGCACGTTAAGCAGTTGCATCTGCAGTCGTAAGCACCCACCAATGACTAAGCACTGAGACTGATGACCCACCATCCACTTGATGGGCGTGGGTCACGGCCCAATTTCCCATTTGGCCTGCGTTCCAGCAGAAGTAAGTAACCTTGATTGACGACCTCCGTGGTCGAGTAGTTTGTACGCCGGGTATCATGGGGTCGCCGACTCGAGAGGTCCCGGGTTCGAATCCCGGTGGGGGCAGATGTTTGTGTGATGAATACGAGCATTTTTACTGCAGTCATGGATGTTTAATATGTATTTCTATATGAATATACTTATATATGTACTGTATATGTGTTCTATCCGTTACCCTAGAATCCCATAACACAAGCCTTACAGTGCTCACTTTGGGGCTAGGCTAATGAGGGCTACCGTTTTCTGCCTCACCAGATGGCCCCACTGTTGAGTGAGGTCCTAAATTGTAACTTTTAAAGTTTATTAATACGCACATGAAATCAAAGGTTACATTTAGATCGTATTTTAACACAAAAGAACCATATCCTAAACATAATAGGCCATGCCACGGTGACGCGCAGTTCCGTTTTATTCGGAAAAAATGGGAACATAATCATTTTTCTAAGCTCTAATTTTAATAACTGACATTCATTGCCACATAACTCATATTTGCCATAATTAAGCCGAATTGTTACCAATTATTCACAACATTATTTTAATTAGAAATAAACCCGCGTAGTCAACCTACAAGCAATAACATTTGACATTTCAGAGACCTCACGCTACACTAGCGCCTCTAGCGGCGGATTCATACGCGATAGCCCTCATTGGTGTGAGTGTTGGAATTATTTATATTTGATCTTACAGAAAACCATGGTAAAATAGCATTAACTTTTTTTATTATTTTTTATAGATAGGTCCGACATATGACTCCACCCCACCTGATGTTAAGTGACGGTGAAGTCCAGACGCAAATATAGCTGATACCTCACCTTGCCGGCCTGCATGTTGCTTCTTCACGCCTCTTTTAAAGGATCCCAGGTTGTAAGAGGGAGGGAACACGTGAGCGGGCAGAGCATTCCATTTACGGATAGTGCGACAAAGAAATGAATCACCTATGCTGCCCTACTATAATCAAAGGAAATAGGTGGATAAGAATTCTGTAGCGGGTGCTCCAATTTAGATGGGTGATCCGCTTTCCTACTTCTTCTCCATGGTAGAATTCAATGATTTGATTAAGGTTTAAAAACAAAAAAATATATATCTTATTAAATGGTTGCATTTATTTACAATAAAAGCCATATTTATAATAAAAACTAGCCATGAAAAATATAAAATCTAATTAAATTACATAATCACATTTTTTTTTAATTAATCTAGTTATGTGTACCTTGTGTTCGTGGATTTTATTATTGTTATGATTATTTTTTACTGATACTGTTTCTTGTCGTCACTGAACCCGTTCCAACGGAAGACCAGCGCTGATGGCAATATCAGCATCATGCTGAGTTGGGGCCATTTTGATACAAGAAATTTAGATGTGTGTGTGTGTTTTTTTATATATTCTTTTACTGTTGTTATGTCTCAAATAAAATTATGTTTCTTTTTCTTCTTCTTTTTTCTTTTATTTGTTAATTTTAATAAACTAGCTCTTGACCGCGGCTTCGCGCGCGTTTTTGTTGATTTTGTGACCAATTCTGGTTCACGAATATTATTTATAAAGCTGAACTGTTTGTTTGTTTGATAGAACGTGCTAATCTAAGGAACTAATGGTCCGATTTGAAAAAGTTGGATAGTGCATTTATCGAGGACGGCTATGCTAGCTGGTAGGAGTGGTGCATGGATGAAAAATGTTACAGAAACGGGGAAATAATATTCCGTTTGAGAGCTTTCGTTGCGAGCGCTGCCTAAAAGGATAAATATATACAAAAAATATGGACGGGGGAATTGTTATCAAACGTTCATCTTTCAAGTTTGACTCACTATAACCTTTTTCCCCAAATAAACGCGAATGAAATAGCAGGGTACCTCTATTAATTGACAAAACACATTGAACGATTGTAAAGCGCGATTTATCAGCTCGTATTATCATTTTAGACATTTTGGATCTTTACAGGCTTCGTCTTAATGTCGTTGAAACGTCAATGTGTATTTTAACCGTTATTGGATCACTTTGTTTTCCGTCTGTCCGTCAGTCTGCCTGACAAGATTCTTTATCAGGGTAACGTGTGGAGGTTGAAATTAAAACCATATATTCAGGTCTATGGTCCATTGAAGCTGTGAAAAGACTAAGCTTCCAAGTTAACGTGAAGAAAAGGTTTATAGGACCATTTATGTTGTTAAACGTACGGAACCTCGCGGTGGGAATCTCGGAACTCGCACTTTATTATTGTATTTTAGGTACGCAGTCACAAGACTCGGAAAATAACTTTTTGCAACTCCAAGCAAATGTTCTCTTTAAACACTATTTTTCGTTTTTCACTTCTTCGATGCTGTCCAACAGTTGGCGTCTCCATTTTATTTTAGGTACGCAGTCACAAGACTCGGAAGGTAACTTGTTGCAACTCCAAGCAAATGTTCTCTTAAACACTATTTTTCGTTTTTCACTTCCTCGATGCTGTCCAACAGTTGGCGTCCCTTTGTTTCTGGCAACAATAGGCACATGGCCCCGGCAGCAATGGGGGCTACTCCAAACACCACAGTAGGCAGCCATGGCACGCTGGCCGAAGTGTTGGAAATGAACGGTGCAACCATGGATCCTATTCTCATGGCGGTGGAGGAAGCACCCATTCCCATGTTCCTGACTACGGTAGGATATAGCTCTGAAGTGAAGATGTATATGGTGGTAGCTACTATTGAAGCGCAGCTCACTCCTGAAGGAAACGGTAAATATGTGTTAGTGTTTTTACTGTTCCGTTAATAAGGGTGGCAAAAAGAGACCCTATTAATATAGGCCATAGCGGATTTGCTCAGATTGCATTGAAAGAAGACAAGTTTTCGCATTGCTTGCTTTGGCAACATTGCCAATGTTGTGTTTCTGTCAGTTACTAAGATTCATCATCATCATCAGCCTATTAATGTCCCCACTGCTGGGGCACAGGCCTTCCCTATGGATGGAATAGGGAGATTGGGCCATGACCCACCACGCGGGTCCAGTGCGGATTGGCGGGTACTAACGACTGCAGATGCAGCCGGGACCAACGGCTTAACGTGCCTTCCGAAGCACGGAGGAGCTCAAGACCACTGCGAAAGTTGCTTAACTTCAACGATCGCAGCCGAACGCGCTAACCACCCAACTCCGTCTGGGGGTGATCACAGTAAATAACATTATCTTATGGTGGTGTTGTGTTTCGGACGGTGAGCAAGGTTCCAGAGTTCCTGGTTGGGGATTGGAACAGAAACAGGATTACCATCATGTCCTGATTTGTCCGGACATGTCCGGATTTTTTGCATATTGTCCGGTCAATGTCCGGATTTTTTTGCTATTGTCCGGTCAAGGTCCGGATTTTTGCTATTGTCCGGATTATGTCCGGGTTTTTCCTATTGTCCTGACAATGTCCGGATTTTTTGCATATTGTCCGGAGAATGTCCGGCATTTTAATTTGTCCGGATTTTTTTAATTAGATGGAATACGAGTAAAACTACTTATTAAGTTGTATCAAATAAGTCAAATAATCTTAAGTCCTCATTAATTTAAAACAAAATATAAATTATCTTTGGGGTGTAAGGGGTTCTAAATACACCTGCAAGAACCCAAGCCAACCTCACCTTCACGTGGTGCACCCTGTTGACCAACAGACGAGGCTCTGGCAAACCGACCGATGGCGGTATAACCATCCAATGACGTAGGGGAGGAAAATGTCACTGGTGACGGGCAGCAGCGTCATCAGTAAATAAACCTACGCTCTGCGATCGCCAACCCGCCTGCCCAGCGTGGCGATTATGGGCAAAACCTTCATGCACAAGAAACTCAAGCCACGGCCCCCAGTTCCCGGCAGCCCCGCTATTCCTAGTCACGGTGGCGACCACGGTAACGGTGGGGCGGGGGGTGCCAAGAATCTCCGGGCTACGGGAGGCCACCACAAAAGACTGACCCTGGCGACGTACAACGGACGCACGCTACGGCTTGACTCGCATCTGGCGCAACTCGAGGTGGAACTTGGAAAGATTAGGTGGCACATTTTAGGGTTAAGTGAAGTCCGAAGAGAGGGGGAGGACACCATAACCCTCGAATCGGGCCACCTAATGTACTTCCGCGGGGGAGACCAACAGTCCCAAGGTGGCGTTGGGTTTTTGGTAAATAAGTCCCTTGCCGATAACGTTGTGGAAATGTCCAGCGTGTCGAACAGGGTAGTGTACCTTATTATAAAGCTCACCGAGAGGTATAGCCTCAAGGTGGTGCAAGTGTACGCACCGACCTCGACACACTCAGACGACGAAGTGGAGGATATGTTCGATGATATATCGAGGGCCCTCCACTCCACTACTAAGACCCACTACAACGTTGTTATGGGGGACTTCAACGCTAAAGTGGGAGTACAGAATTGCAGCGCATCGGTAGTAGGATCCCATGGATTTGGAAGCAGAAATCATAGGGGGCAAATGCTCGTCAACTTCCTCGAACAGCAGGGGCTCTTCTTGATGAACTCTTTTTTCAAGAAACAGCCCCAAAGGAAGTGGACATGGCAGAGCCCCGACACTATGACTAAAAATGAGATCGATTTCATCATGACGGACAAGAGGTACATATTCAGAGACGTCTCCGTGATCAACAGGTTCAATACCGGTAGTGATCACAGACTCGTCCGGGGCTCTCTGAATATCAACTTTAAGGCCGAGCGCGTCCGTTTAATGAAATCCAGTCTCCAACCTACTTTGCTCCAATCTATAACAGGATCTGAAACGTTCCAGTCAAATCTGGAGAACCGATTTGCTGCCGTGGAAACCACATCAGACGTAAACCAAAACCTCGAAAATGTGGTTCGGATTCTCCGGGAAGAGGGTACGAAACTATGTGCAACGCAGAGTAAGGGCAGGAAGTCAAAGCTTTCGGAAGAGACTTTAGGGCTAATGAAGGAACGACGTGAAAACCCACCCGACACTTCGTCGGCAAAGCGGACTCTAAACCAAGAGATCAGTAAGCACGTACGACACGACCTCCGATGCTCCAATACTCTCTCGATCGAGAGAGCGATCGAGCAGAATCGAGGGTCCAAAGTGTTCGTACAATCTCTTGGAAGAAGCCATCTGACGAAGTTGACCACAGCAAGTGGGGAAGTTGTTGCTTCAAAGCCGGCAGTCCTTTCGGAAGTGGAAGACTTCTACAGCCAGTTATACGCATCACATGCATCTCGACCTGATCCCGGAAATGAGGATTCTAGAGCCACATTAACACGCCACTTCACCGAAGACCTGCCAGAAGTCAGTATTGGAGAAATCGAGATTGCTCTTGGACAGCTTAAAAATGGAAAAGCCCCTGGAGAGGATGGTGTTACAACAGAACTCTTGAAGGCTGGAGGTAAACCCGTACTGAGGGAGCTCCAAAAGCTTTTTAACACTGTCCTGTTCGAAGGGAGAACTCCGGAAGCGTGGAGTAGGAGTGTGGTCGTCTTGTTCTTTAAAAAGGGGGACAAGACCCTACTTAAGAACTATCGACCCATATCCCTTCTAAGCCACGTCTATAAGCTGTTCTCAAGAGTGATCGCGAACCGTCTTGCGCGAAGATTTGATGACTTCCAACCACCGGAACAGGCTGGGTTTCGGAGTGGATACGGCACCATAGACCACATCCACACAGTGCGGCAGATTATACAGAAGACTGAGGAGTACAATCAGCCCCTGTGCCTAGCATTTGTGGACTATGAGAAGGCCTTTGACTCGATTGAAATCTGGTCTGTCCTGGAGTCCCTGCAGCGTTGCCAAGTCGACTGGCGATACATCCAAGTGATAAGATGTCTCTACGAAGCCGCCACCATGTCTGTCCAAGTACAGAATCAGCAAACAAGTCCCATACCGTTGCATCGTGGAGTGAGACAAGGGGACGTTATTTCCCCGAAATTGTTCACTAATGCAATGGAGGATATGTTCAAGACGCTGAACTGGAAACGACATGGCATCAACATAAATGGCGAACGCATCTCTCACTTGCGATTTGCAGACGACATCGTCATCATGGCAGAAACCCTGCAGGACCTACAACAGATGCTGAATGACCTGGCTGACTCTTCTATACGCATCGGTCTACGGATGAACTTGGATAAAACCAAGGTCATGTTCAATGAACATGTTCTACCGGAACCGATTGCAATACACGGTGCCGTTCTCGAAGTTGTTCAAAAATATGTATACCTCGGGCAGACATTGCAGTTAGGTAGAAACAACTTTGAGGACGAGGTGAATAGAAGAGTTCAGCTAGGTTGGGCAGCGTTTGGGAAGCTACGTCAAGTCCTGACATCGTCGATCCCACAGTGCCTAAAGACGAAAGTCTTCAATCAGTGCGTCCTACCTGTGATGACATACGGAGCCGAAACGTGGACACTGACGGCACGGCTGATCCACAGATTCAAAGTCGCTCAACGCGCTATGGAAAGGGCTATGCTCGGCGTTTCTCTGAAAGATCGCATCAGAAATGAGGTAATCCGACAGAGAACCAGAGTTATCGACATAGCCCACCGGATTAGCAAGTTGAAGTGGCAGTGGGCTGGCCATATTTGCCGAAGAACCGATAACCGTTGGGGTAGACGAGTTCTGGAGTGGAGACCGCGTCTAGGCAAACGTAGTGTAGGACGTCCTCAGGCACGATGGAGTGACGATTTGCGCAAGGTGGCTGGCAGGAGCTGGATGCAAGTAGCCCAAGATCGATCTGAGTGGCGTGCATTTGGAGAGGCCTATGTCCAGCAGTGGACTATGATAGGCTGTTGATGATGATGATGATGATAAATTATCTTTAAAAATCAGCAACGAGACACCTCGATGCGAGCGTCTGCTACCATGCGTATAATATCACTGTAACTAAGTGGGTGATGTTTACATTTTGTGACTAAAATGTCCGGACTTTTTGTCAGGACTTTTCATTTTTTTAAATAGTAACCCTAGTCAGAAGTATCTATAGGCTGTGGTGGCCGCTTTCCATCAGGCGGGCAATACGCTCGTTTGCCACTCTTTTAACATATATATCTCCACCATCTGTCTGTCTGTCACAAGTTTGTCTAGTAAATTTTCTTTAGGTTCAAACGTCCAGCAGTTAAATGCTTTAAATAAAAATATAATAATAAATAAAACAGATTTTAATAATTTAACAAAAGGAGAAAGTTTCTTGAACAACCCACATTCATACTTTTGCACACTTTATTTATTTATACGAACTTGCCAGACAATACAACCTCATAGCAGGGGCGTATTTAAAAAATTTGGGGCCCTTACTTTAGATATGCACTCGACCCAGTTGGGAGGACATTGTCCCATAATACTCACCCCCCCCCCCCCCCCCGTAGGCTAGCGATGCCCTTAGACCCACCTAAACTGCCCAAGGTGAGTTGTAGCGCGAAGGTGTCCGGCACGCAGCCCAGCGTGATGACGCACAGCCCGCCCAGGCACGACCCGCCCACAGTCGTAGCCTTCCGCCCGAAGTACCGCATCAACCAAATAGACAGTAATACTGATGGTATCTGCAATGTTGAAACAAAGTCAGCTTTTAGTCCCTGTGTCCCGAGGTCCTGGGTTCCAAATGAAAAAAAAAATGAAACGCTGCGGAACAAATGTTTGCCTGACGAATTTGAGTATTCATATTTAAGTCATAAAAGTTAATTTATCCCGTAGTATCCCATTTTAGGTTTGTGTACCTTGCAGTAAGCACTTCAACAAACAGCAAAAAAAATATGTAAAAAAGGAAGCAGAAAAAAATTAATAAACCTAAGAAATCTAAAGAAAAGTTTACTAGAAAAAAATCCACGCGGACCAGGCAGCGGACGGGATTCGAACCCGCATCCTTCGCAATCCGGGCAAATGCACTGACCATTATGCTACCACGGCCCTATTAGCCGCGTCGAAATTTTCCTAGCCTTAAGTATAATTGTAGGTTGCCTACAATGCGAAGAGATGGCGCTGCCTTGCAGCCCGTCCGCTGCCTGGTCCGCGTGGATTTTTTTCTAGTAAACTTTTCTTTAGATTTAAACATCTAGCAGTTAAATGCTTAAAATTAAATAAAATCAAACCTAACAAAGCTTCAATATTGATCAGTCAGGATCCTGCCACAGCATAATGCTGTCTTGACATGTAACTAAACGTGTCACAGCAACGCTGGTACTCTGATTTGATACCAAGTCATTTTTGGTCAGTGTATTTATTTACCTGGATAGCAGCAGCTGCAGCGACTGACACGAACGGGTCGGAGCTGGTCTGACTGATGTACTGGTTGAGGCCGAAGAATGTGACGCCAGTGATCAGCCAGATGAAGCAGCAGCAGATGGTCTTGGTCCTCAGTGAGCTGTGCACGAGCTGCAAGTAGTTGGGCTTGGGCTGCTCCGAGCTACTCTTGATGGCATCGGCCATTGAAGTCAGGGATTCCCGGATCTTCGTCGTTGGCATTTTGTTCCTGGATAGTCATGTGAATTTTAAATCATACCACAGAGACTTCTATAAAAGTTGGATTGAGAGAAAGAAAAAGAGAAAGGCAGAGAAAGTTCTTAGAATTCGAATTTTAAATGATACTTACCATAGGTAATTTTGTAAAAACAGAGCTGAAGAGAAAGAAATTAGAAAAAAAGAGAGACAGTTTCAAAATAAAATTACATGCTAAGTAGAAAACAATTGTTTTACACTCGGTTTGAAACTAAAAGGCAGGTATATAGCTCAGCATGTAATTGCCAAGTTATGGCTTAATACTGATGTTCGGTGTCTACCAGAAAAACTAAGTAGCTTTATAATTCCTTCATTCTATCCAGCATTGCGATTCATATATCAATGACACATTATAAACTTTAAAGATTTTATTTTAAGCCATGAACTGCTAGAAATCGAAAGTAATTTTTACTAGAACAATTTCCACTGGGTCAAGGTGTTAAGCAGAATTTCAATTTGGCACCCGACGCTATACGGCCAGATGAACTAACCGCTATGTTACCAACACAAAAGAAGATTTGAATCCTGCCTGACACCTGGAACAAAGGGATTATTTTTCCAGTAAAAACTTTCTTTAAATTGAAATAGAATTTAAGGTACAATTCCAAATGGGCGGTAGAATGGAACCGCAGGTGGCACTATGGCTAGCGACAGCGGTCGTAGTTCCAAGCACGGCGACACGCCGAGACTGCACAATGCATAGAACCACGCCTCAGTCACTCCAATCTGCGTTATGGCTGCAGGACCGCGCTCGGAATAAATTTCATAGAAATTCATAGAAACAAATGGTGCCGCCGTTTTTTATATAACTAGGTAGGCAAATGACTCTACGCCACCTGATGTCAAGTGGTGTTTTCCAGACGCGAAGATAGCTACTACGACAGTTATAAACTGCCACACCAATCATCCTCACCTTGCCGGCCTGCAGAAATGCTTCTTCACGCCTTTTTTAAAGGACTCCAGATTGTAGGTAGGAACACACGTGCTCAGGCAAAGAATTCCAATTGCGAATAGTGCAACATAGAAATGAGTTACCAAATTTCTTTCATCGTATAGGAATAGTGGCCACAGTTAGTCGACGACAACGTATGCCAGCGCCCGTGGTCCTCTGAAGAAAAGGTGATGGAGGGATAAGGAAGAATAACTCCTCAGAACACAAGCTGGTTGTCCAAGGTTGGCAAGGTTTTCCTAATAAGTAGCATTTGAGAGGGCAATTGGCTCACATGCTGGCAGCTTTGGTGACAATGATGGTAGCCTCCTCCACCCTGCCGACGCTGACCAGCCAACGCGGCGACTCCGATAGCAGGAAGAAGTACCCCAGGTAGATGAGGGTGGGCACCGCCAGCGCTAGCGTATACGAGTCCCAGTTCCTGGTGTGAAGAATTGATGGGTTAGTGCCTGTACACATCTCCACGTCACGACGTCATCAACGTGAAACTTGGCCGGTAACGTTGCAAATTTACGACCAGGGGTCTACTCTCTTTCTATGAAACGAACTTTCGATATCGAAGTTCAAGCGAAATTTAATTTCGTCAATTTTTGGTTATACTTAATTTGAATATGTTTTGTCCCATTCGGTGTCAACACCCTTGGTCCGTGGGGTCCTAGCGCTATGAGGCTTTTTAAGTAAATATTCATAAAAGTTAGTCGACATCACTCGAGACCGAAGAGCTGGCAGCTACCTCGGACAAAGAATTAGTCTAGCTATTCAAAGGGGGAACGCTGCCAGTATCTTCGGAACCTTGCCTAAAGCGACTCCTTTTAGTAATATTTTTTAGTTATTCTATTATATTTTTTAGTGTTTTTAGTTTAAGGTTCATTGTTCCTGTATATATTAAACTACATATTTGAACGATAAAGTATCAAATTAAATCTTTCTTTGAGTAGGCTTAGAAAATCTACACCTCAGTCTATATTCCGACAACGAATATTTATTATAATTTAAAACGAACCAGAAACATAGTAAGAAAAGTGCGAAGTGTCGATTCGAATTGATCGAAATTTCCTTTTTCATTGAAATAGAAAAAGTCTCCAGGTTTGGATTTTATGTCAACGTATCGTGCAAAGTTCTGGGTTTTACGTTGACGACGGACGTCGTGACGTGGACGACGAGATGTGGACAGGCACTTCTTCATTAACAAACTACCTAATAATGTCTTCATCCATAAAGGGGGTGATGACGGGGTAGTTTACTTTACCCCGTCTTAATTTTATTTAGCCTGTCAGTTAGATTATAAAAAATTGTGGGCACTTATTTTATCAACCAAAAAATTTACAAAGATAAAGCGCGTCAAAGTTTAGGGACTCGTGACGTCACTTGTAAGTAAAAACTGTACCAGTACCAACATGACGTAATGTACGTTTTGATTATGTGGAAAAGAAAAAAATACGTGTCCAATACATTTTGTTCATCTACCGAAAAGGAACGAATTAAAAACGGTTATCATCCCTATTTCAAAAGAAAAATTAAATCACCTTTTTTAATCTCACAAATTGGCAATGTAAAAAAATGTTTAAAAAAGTTGTTAGGGTTGGTCCAATTTCTAATTGATAATTGTGATTTAATAATTAAGTAACATAATATACTTTTGGTTGACTTATATTTAAACACAATAATGATAAAGTACGTGGTCTAAGTTTCAATAAGGTATAATAAAATTTATTGGTTGAAAAAAGTCTAAGTAAATAAATACTTTAAGCCTATACCTGTAGTAGTAAGCGAAGAGAGGCACTGTCATGTGACCGATGATGAAGGGTATCTGGAACAGACACCCTGCCATCTCCCTGTACTTGGGTCCGACGGATTCCATGACGATAACGAAGGAGATCACCATGGTGCCGGCAGTGGCGACCCCCAGCAAGAACCTCAACGTAGTGAACACCTCATAGTTCGGAGAGAATGGTATTCCAAATCCAACAACCATTACTGTCGTCACTGAAATGAGGAAAGTGATTTTGCGGCCGAACCTGAAATTTAAGCCAGTTTTGAAACGGTAAATAAAAAATGGCAAAAATAATAAAAGAGGCTTCACTACGGTGTCTTACACTCGACTAAATATTTTGGCATTTCATCATCATCATCATCAGCCTATTAATGATCCCACTGCTGGGGCACTGGGGATTGGACCATGACCCACCACGCGAGCCTAGTGCGGATTGCTGACGACTGCAGATGCAGCCGGGACCAACGGCTTAACGTGCCTTCCGAAGCACGGCATATTGGCAATTAATTAATGTAAATTTTGGCAATTCGAATCCATTTTTATCAGCTATTAAAAATGATTTGAATACATATTATAAATAACAATAAAGAATTACTAAAAGATGCTTTTAAGCAATAATGCAACTCGCACAGAATAATCTTAAGCTGAGCAAGACGCTATTAAATATTTTTTTGGAATTCGCACCCAAAGTGTGATGTTGAAACCCTGTTTCTTCTCCAGATCTTTGTTCGAGACCGTACATGTATGGGTCAGGCCGCCATTTTTTGCTGATTTTGAAAATTGTTTTCTCCGCGGTCAGTATTTTGAAAAGTATTATAGATATCGGATTTTCGATGACGGCTTTGGATTAAGCAACAAAGTGACTCAAGTGGACATTATGATTATTTCAGGTCAGATAATAAACAAAAAATATATTTCGAATGAAATCTTTTTTTTTTTTTTTTATAGATAGGTCCGACAAATGACTCCACTTCACCTGATGTTAAGTGAAGGTGAAGTCCAGACGTGACGATAGCTGATACAGCAGTTTTACCTGCCACACCAGCCATCCTCACCCTGCCGGCCTGCATGTTGCTTCTTCACGCCTCTTTTAAAGGATCCCAGGTTGTAAGAGGGAGGGAACACGTGAGCGGGCAGAGCATTCCATTTACGGATAGTGCGACAAAGAAATGAGTCACCAAATTTCTTTGTACGCGTTGGAATTGTGGCCACAGTTAGACGATGACAACGTGGGCCAGCGCGCGTGGTCCTCTGAAGGAAAGGAGAAGGTGGGATAAGAGAGAATAACTCCTCAGAACACTCGCCGTGGTACAGACGATAGAACGCGCTTAGTGACGCCACGTCACGGCGTAATTGAAGAGGCTCAAGGTGTTTAGTCACCTCCTCATCGCCTATGATGTGGATCGCGCGTCGCTGTAACCTATCCAAAGCATCGAGCAAGTACTTGGCGGAGCCATCCCAGAGGTGCGAGCAATATTCCACGCAGGACCGCACTTGCGTTTTGTACAACAAGCACAGTTGATCGGGCGTGAAAAAACGCCGCACCTTGTTCAGGACTCCGAGTTTGCGTGAAGCTGTTTTGATCACGGTTTCGATGTAGTTCTTTGGATTCAGGTCTGAGCGAACTTCCATACCGAGCATGGAAATGTTGCTCTGCAGCGGTAGTGTTGTGCCCTGAAGAGATGGAAGGGGAAGGAATGACGATGTTTTTGCCGTGAAAGCGCAAGCCTGAGTTTTTTTGGCATTGAACTCAACCAAGTTCCTGGTACCCCATTCGGAAATGTGGTCCAAAGCCTGATTGAGTTCAATGACAAGATTCTCGCGTTTCTTCTTGGTTACCGCCAGCCCAGCCGCTGCTTGTCCGAGATACCTCGCATGCACTGTACTATCGTCTGCATAGCAATGAATATTCCCAAGAGGAATTAAGTCATTGATATGCAGCAGAAAGAGATGAAGAGAGTGGGGGATAGGACGGAGCCCTGGGGAACGCCGGCATTCACTGACATGAACCGCGAACTGCTACCATCCGTAAGGACACGAATTCTACGCTCATGCAGGAAGTCAGCTACCCAAGAACAGAACTGGGCTGGCAGACCGTATGCCGGAAGCTTGGAGAGAAGGCTTTTGTGCCAGACCCTGTCAAACGCCTTGGCAATGTCATGGCTGATAGCCAACGACTCGCCACGCTTGTCGATAGCCTCACCCCAGATATGAGTTAAGTACGCTAGAAGATCACCCGTCGATGGTTTCGGTCTAAAACCATATTGACGATCATTAATCAAGGAGTGATCCTCTAGGTAGCGGGTCAGATGGTTATTAAGGACCTTTTCTAAAACTTTACATAAAACTGAGGTGACTGCTATTGGCCGGTAGTTTGCCGGGTCTGAGCGATCCCCTTTTTTGGGCACCGGTTGCACATTGGCATCTCTCCAAGTCTCCGGCACACGCCCCAAAGAATACGAGCATTGGTACAAGCGCGTGAGCACGGGAGACAACTCCGCTGCACATTTTTTGAGTACTACTGCTGGGATGCCATCAGGTCCACTAGCTTTCCGGACGTCGAGTGATTGCAATTCGGCACGAACCTCGCGCTGCCTGATTTTAATATCAGGCATCGTTGTGCCACCGTGAGGTAATGATGGTGGCAGTGCATTGCAATCATCGATTCGGGAGTTAGCCGCAAAGAGTTTTGCCAGTAAATCGGCTTTCTCCTGCGGCTTATGGGCTAGTGTTCCGTCTGGGCATCTCAGAGGTGGCAGCGAGGGCTCGCAGAAGTTTTTTTGCACGGCCTTGGCCAGACGCCAGTAGCTACGGGAGCCCGTAGGATGCGTCATAAGTTCCTGGCCAACACGTGCAACGCGCTGGGCATCCGCTCTAATGTAAGCCTTCTTATAGGCCTTGGAAGCAAAATTGTAGGCTGCTTTGAGTAAATCGACCTCGGGATCCTTGAGAGCGCGCCCTCTGATCCAAGCACGATATGCCGCTTGCTTACGCGAAGCAGCTTCAGCACAATCGTGATTGAACCAGAGGTTACGCGTGCCCTTACTGATGAGATCAGAATGAGGAATATAGTATTCCATACCCATTATAATCTCCTCAGTAATGGCAACGGCACTGGCCGATAGGTCCCTGTCACTGAAGCAGCGCTGCTTCCAGGGGACGGACGCAAAGTAGTCACGCATACCGTCCCAATCTGCCGACCCATAATGCCAGATACGGCGCTTGACCACTGCTGGACGCGGAGGCTTGGCCTGTGGTGCTTTGGCAGATATCAGGCAGTGGTCTGACGAGCCCAGGGGGGCTCTTACCACAACCTGATAGCCCTGTGGATGGGTCGTGAGCAGAAGGTCCAGTAAAGAAGGCGCTTGACTTGGAATATCTGGGATCCTGGTGGGCTGATCAACCAGTTGCTTCAAGTCATGCGTGTGAGCGAATGCGTGAGCAGAGATCCCTGCATGGTCAGTTTTGGAGGAACTTAACCACAAATTGTGGTGAGCAGTAAAGTCCCCCAAAAACGCCAATTGTGCATTGGGAAATTGTTCCTGTGCGTCATCTGCTGCCCGACTAAGGTGTTCAAAAAGTCGAGTTGTCTCAACATCGCCGGTGTGGGATCTGTAGAGACACACGTAAACTCTGGCCAGGGGGCCAGAGTCGACGTGTACCCCCAGCATGGAGAAGGAGGGATCTTCCAAGCAGCGGAGACGGCGACAACAAACATCCGCCCGAACATACAGGCATACACCGGCTTTCGCTTTGAAGGACTCTTCTAGCACGTAGCCGGGATAATTAAGGTAGCCTGTGTCAGCAGGCGGAAGTATTTGTGTCTCCGTCAGGAACAACAATGCTGGCCGTGCTGTCTCAAGATGGTGGTGGACAGCGTTGAGGTTAGAGTGGAGTCCGCGTATGTTGCAGAACTCGACCTCAAACAGCGTTGAAGGCGTGGGGGTGTGCACCGCTGAACGTCCAAACTTTGTTTTAGGAGTTGCCATTATGGAAGTGAAAAAGAGACGTGAAACGAGTGGACGTTGTCGCGACAAGACCGGGCAAATTAGGGAGGCATGTTTCCCCGAATGATTGCCTGCAGAGGATATACGCCGACCCGCCGGACGGAAGGGCCCCCGCACCCCCCCGGAAGTGGCCGCCGGGACCCCACGCCCCGGTCACCAACCGGCACGACGGTCCACCCCGAGATTATGCGTGACATGATGGGGCAGCCTCGCGAACTGGTTAGGAACGCTTGGGCCCCTGTACTGTGCCACGGGCGGCCAGCGGGACAACCGTTTCTACGGGTCTCCCTGGCCGGCGGGTCGATGTAGTCCTCCCGGCATCGGTTCGACGGATGACTCACCCTGGACCGAATCCGTCGCGACAACCTCCACTCGAGCCCTGGTTGTACGCTGGCTGACCCCGAAACGCGCGAGAAGCACTTCACGGGTTTTTCACCATGCGCACGGTGGTAACAAACCAGGCGGGTGTTAGGCACCCTACCACCAGCAGAGCGGATGGAAGCTCCGATATCCCTTAGTCGCCTCTTACGACACCCACGGGAAGAGAAGGGCCGGTGAGTTGTATTCTTTCTCCGTCACCGCACGGATTAATCTCTAAATCTGAAAAAAGGTAGTAAAATTACACAAAAACTTCTATCCGCCGAGGTAGAGGTGCACTTTAACTATCGTAGTAGCAAAAAGTATGTCAGTTTTTGAGAGATGGCTGATACTTTAAAAATACTTATGATTCGTAATAAGTAGATAGTCGAAATTTTCACTTTGTTTTCAATTTCAAATTAGATTGCAGCTATAGCAGCAGATAACCACATTAATTAAGAAAAAAGTTCAATAAAAATCCTTGTATAATTAGGGAACTCTTTGATTATTAATACAGCTCCAACTTTGCTGGTTTATAAAATGATTATAATCCTGTTATTTTTTAGATTAAAGATAAAGTTGTTATCTTGTTTCTTTGTCTCTTCTCCATATAAATTATTTACACCGAAACCATTACCAACCTATTGAAACAAATTTGACGACGGTAATTATTTGTTTTTTATTATTTTTATATCTGTAAAGTCTACAGACTCTTGGTCCGTCCCTTTTTTGTGTTCTATAACATTATTTTACAGGTATTATACCCTTTTTTTAACTACTCTTATAATTAGATAGATAGATAAAACTTTATTCACACCAACATGCACACATAAAAAATTGGAGACAAAATTTACAATTATATAAATCCTTTAAAACATGCAACAAATTATATTTACACAACTATGTTGATATTTTCGTGTGCAGCAGCGATGCGAATGGGCGAAAACTCAGCGTAACATTTACTCCGAGAGTAAATCGCTGATTTTCAACTCGAACCCATATAGATGAGGTCACGCAATTTAGTTTAATAACTCTCTAGTGATGCCATTATCAACTTGAATACGTAAGCCAAGCATATCTACTGTGCATGAAAAGTTATATTATCCTGTTTTCATTTGCATAGGTTTCTTACCTCATATAAAAATCTCACATGCACAGATATCACAGTAGGTACAAATTGATAATACCATCAGTAATATATTAAAAACCGATATATTTAAGAAGATCTAGAAAGAAAATTGTAAGCATATTTACCTATCAGCCAGGAAACCAAAGATGACACTGCCGACAAGTATTCCCAATTGAAGCATCATCTGTGTGAAACTCGCCAACCATTTCTTGTCACATATCAAATCCCATTCTGACACTATCGTGTTACCAAATTGTCCTGTATCATATTCATATGCCAGACAGTTCGCGTAGCACGTTGAATTTTCAACTGACAAAGTTACATTTGTTGTGGATTCATCGAATTGAACACACCTGAATGTTAAAGCTGGCGTGAGGAATAGAATGGCCAGTTGAACCCAACCTGAGGATAGTTTCACTAAACTCACAGTTGAAACCACAATAAACTGCCATGTTCCGAATTGACCAATTAGTTTAGATAACACGTCCTCTTTTTTAACATCACTGATCCCATTTTGGATAATGTTTTGTATAGTCTGAACCATTTTTGGTCCTTTTAATGTGTCGTGTGGTTATTTTCTTATCTATATCTTCATTTTTTATGTGATGCTTATCTCTTGTGGCTCCTATACTCGAGTGATGAGTGTCTGCTGACAATAAAATATCTTAACTGTAAAGACTTAAAGATATTTGACAGATAACCATGTTTATTTTAAGATTACAATTTAACACACAAAATATATTGTGTATTACTGCAAAATATACAGTACAGAAGGTAATCTCGTGTATGTACGTTATTGTACTCACGGTTGGCGGTCACGCTAGGATTGTCAACTTTGACTTGTTCACAAAATAAAAAAGGTGGTAATGGCACTCGAGTAGCTCGATGACGCAGGAGGATAGCGCGTTCGGCCTGCGATCGTGGAAGTTAAGCAACGTTCGCAATGGTCGGTCATTGGATGGGTGACCAAAAACTGATTATCTCCGTGCTTCGGAAGGCACGTTAAGCCGTTGGTCCCGAGGTTAAGCGGTGGTTACCACCCACCAATCCGCACTGGGCCCGCATGGTGGGTCACGGCCCAATCTCCTTATTCCATCCATAGGGGGAGGCCTGTGCCCCAGCAGTGGGGACATAAATAGGCTGGTGATGAATGGCACTCGTGCGTATCTAGTTGTATGAATTATTGGTGAGAATGAATCAGGAAGAATGGAAATACAAACTAATAATAACTATAGTATTTAAATTTTTGATTATTATAGATGACAAATTAAAAAAAACGACGTTACCGAATAATGTTGACAACAACCGTTCACTAAAGAGTTATTAGACTTTTTTTTGCTCCAATTTTGCGCAAAAAGAACACAGACGCGTGTCTCAAGCAGATGGAACTAGCGCTCACAGTGGTGCTAAGCGGTCCGAGATATCGTGTCCGTGAGCGGTATCCATGTTTTCAGTTCTTGCCTAATAATAAGAAGGTAATTTAAAATTTATTCACTAATTTTGGTCGGGTAACGTCGTTTTGATTGCTCGGTCACACTCATTATTACGCCCGCGCTCGGGATAAAGATTTTGTCTCGTCGTGTATATTATTCCACTACGTTTTTGGCAATAAGTGTCTATAGTTTATAGTTGTGCTATGGTCCCTTGGTTGAGTGAAAGTTCTTGCTGCAAGATCCTGCTGACCTAAGCACCGCGGCGCAGTGCGCTGGTCTCCGGAATTGGTGAAGTTCACTTGCGAAAGTAGATGTTCTAGGCTAGTGGATTTACTTATTCTCTCGATTACTTTCATCATATAAACACCTCACGGATCAAAAATATAGTCCACACATACACATAAAAATATTTTAAAACTTATTAACTAGCGTTTGTTAAAATTGTGTAAAAAGTGTGCGTAGTTTGAGCGCACTTTGTATGTGGATTACCTTCTGTCCTATATATTTTGTGGTATTACATTAAAGTTAAATTCATGTATTTTATCCTTTCTTGTTTTAATGAAAAAAAAATACGAAGGAGGCAAAAAATACAATATCTGCATGGACTAAACCAGGAAAATTATCATTATTCTAAAGTTGTTCTCGAATCCAAGGTATGTTAGATGCGTGAACTAAGTTAGCTTGCTCTCTAGATCATCATCAGCCTATAAATGTCCGCACTGCCAGCAGTGTGCCCCAGGGCACAGGCCTTCTCTATAGATGGAATAGGGAGATTGGGCCGTGAGCGGGCCCAGTGCGGATTGGTGAGTGCTAACGACTGCGTGCCTTCCGAAGCATGGAGGAGCTGGATATAATAAATTGTTGTTCCCCCATCAGATAACCAGCCATTGCGAAAGTTGCTTGACTACCACGATCGCAGAACGAACGTGCTAACCACTAGCAGCATCGAGGACCGCATAGTTTTAAAAATTGATATTAAAAATAATCGTAGGCATAAATCGTTAGCCTCCATTTAATTATACACGCATTTGATATATTCCACAGAACGACACACTTACATAAATAATTTATCTTTTATATCTACAATGACGCGTGCTCAATAGTTCCAATGCTGCAAAAATCAGTATAACCTTGACCAGATTTTTTTTACTTAATATTTTATTTGATAAACGCGTACGTATAAAGCAATACAGCGTTGATTTATCTTTTTGGCTTAAGAGGATTTTTCCGTACAAACTTTCTCGACGGAAAAAATAATTTTCAACACATTAGCTAAAAAATGCATTTACAGAAGTTGTGTACATTGTTAGAAAGTTAAAAATTACGTGCGGTAAATTTTACATGCGGTAATTTTTTTACCGCACGCTCCGGTATGGTGGCATATACCGGAGCGTGCGGTAAAAAAAATACTTAGTCTTTACGTGTTTTTTTTTATTTAGATGCGCTTTTGCGCTTCAGGGGAGAAAGCGCAAAAGCTGGAGGTCTTTTTTGGGATTAAGGCAAGACATATAATAGGATAGACTAAAAAGTCTATACCTATTATTTGTCATGCTTTAATCCCAAAAAAGACATAGAGACAAAAGATGTAGTTCTAATTTTCACCACTAGCACGTGGCGCCACTTGGAAATGCGCGCCATTTTCGTCTTAGAAATAGTTTGCTTCATTACTTAAAAATATACTGTTTTCTACGATCAAGTACGGTATTCTACAGTAAAATCCCTTTTTAGAGCTAGTCAGACTCATTGCGTGTTTTTTCGTAGAATACTTACAAAGCAAAATACAGTTCTATAAGTGTCTAAATTATTAATTTTTGACAATAATTCGAACATAATGGGCCTTATTTTGATAAACTATAATAAATAAATAATAATAACTATTTCCAACACTCACACCAATTAGCCTAGCCCCCCAAAGTAAGCACTATAAGGCTTGTGTTATGGGATACTAGGGTAACGGATAGAATACATATACTGTATATATATAAGTATATTTATATTGAATTACATATTAAACATCCATGACTGGAGTACTAATGCTCGTATTCATCACATAAACATCTGCCCCCACCGGGATTCGAACCCGGGGCTTCTCGATTCGGCGACACCATGAAACCCGGCGTACAAACCACTCGACCACGGAGGTCGTCGGAAAGTATAATTTTCAACACATTAGCTAAAAAAAAGCATTTACAGAAGTTGTATACATAGAAAGTTAAAAAATTACATGCGGTAAATTTTGTGGTATATGCCACCGTGTGTATTCTTTACGTTTTTTTTTAATCTAGATCGAATCTCCTCGGAAGCGCTTTTAGTCTATACCCATGAAATAGAGACCAAAGATGTAGTTCTAATTTTCACCACTTGGAAATGCGCGCCATTTTTATTCATAGAAAAAGTATGTTCATTACTTAAAAATTGTACTGTTTTCTACAATAAAGTAGATTACAATATTCTACAGTAAAATTCCTTTTCGGAGTTAGTCAGACTCGTAATTGCGTGTTTTTTCGTAAAATTACTAACAAGCCCAATACAGTTTTTAAATATGTTAAAATTATGATTTTATTTATTTTTTTAAGCATTTAACTGCTAGATGTTTAAATCTAAAGAAAAGTTTACTAGAAAAAAATGAAAATTTTTTTTAGCAGTTAAATGCTTAAAAAATAAATAAAATCATAACTATAATTGCTATTTCTTCTTTCAAATGTTTAATACTTGAAAAAGTATTCATTTGACATTGTGGGTTACCTACAATGCGAAGAGATGGCGCTGCCTTGCAGCTTAAAGCTAGGAAAATTTCGACGCGGCTAATAGGGCCGTGGTAGCATAATGGTCAGTGCATTCGCCCGGATAGCGAAGGATGCGGGTTCGAGTCCCGTCCGCTGCCTGGTCCGCGTGGATTTTTTTTTTCTAGTAAACTTTTCTTTAGATATGTTAAAATTATTTATTTTTTAATATAATTCGAACTTAATGGACCTTATTTTGACAAACCATGTTTTGTTGTTACTGAGTCTGTGCGGAAAGAGAATGGGCGTGGCGAAAAACGGAACTAACATTAAGATTTTTATTTGGCAATCAAACCTGGCAATCTGTAAAACGGCAAAGTTTTGTATTGATACGGATTTGTTTGTTGTTGTGATTTCTTGCGGTTTTTTGTATTTAATCATGTCTAAAAGTGGTAAAACCTTACAAATACCTACGGTAGAAAAGCACTACAGCGCCCTCCAATCTAAATCCCATTCTCTTGCCGCACATACTCTATCTAATCATGCTCTCTCTTTAAGACGAAACCTTGAGACTATTCTTAAGTTTAGAAAGTAAAACTAAAATTAGGCTCTTTGTAAATATTTCTTATTTTACACAAATCATGTGCGTTCGAATCGATTGGATAAAATCAGTATAGCCAATTCAGTACATTTCGTAACAATGTTCACTTCGGTTGATTGCACGAACTTCAATACCATGAGAAAGACCATGAGATAACACGATAGTGAGTACTGACAAAAAACAGACAGTACAGAAGGGTTAATTGCGTACAAAGTGCGCTCGCGCAACGCACACGTAGACACCGCTCACTTACTCGATAATCATAATAAAAATCATTTGTTCAGTTTAGGCTGTTACAAGCACTTATGAATGTCAAGAAGCTTAACGTAAGTTAATCCGAGTACCTAGACAAGCCTTGAAAGAAATCGTGGGTATACTCACGGGTCAACAAACACCTTTATAATATAGGTATTTCTGACAGCTCTCTGTGCAGAGCCTGCCTGGAGGAGGAGGAGACGAGCGCCCATGTTCTGCTGGAGTGCAGAGGCGTTGCAAGACAAGGGACTTCTCTAATGGGAAGCCCGCGGACACTAGTAGAAGCCTGCAGCAACATCCGGGAACTGCTGAGCTTTTCGATGCCAATCCCCACGCAAAATAGGCACTGGGTGTCGAGTTGCGGAAACAGCCCGCCGTTCTACTAAGACTAAGACTAATGTCAAGAAGCTACGCCATTGGTTCGTAAATCTACGGCGGGAGACCTTGTACTGAGGAGAACCGGCAAGAAACTCAGCAAGGGCTGTTTTTTTTGTCACTGTTTTATAATTTAAGAGTCGTCAAGTTGAAAAGAGACTTCAGAGAATTGAATCTTGAAGTCACCTTCCATTACATAATGATTAAATATACATTAATTGTTTACCTGCATTTTGATTGCTGTGTCATACAGTATAAA